TAACATTTTTCCTTTATATAAAGATTCGACTGTTGTACGTCTATTTTATGAATTAGTATAAGCTTATAGCCTAGTATTGTTTGTGGAACACATTTGGAAAAAGAATATTGTCTGAGCTTAATTAGAAACTAAAGTATTTTTCATTTTCGCATTTGTTTCTTTTGGGTTTCGATATTGTTCAGGTGAGAGTCGCATTGTAAATGCAGTTAATTTCTACTGCCCATAATATTGGGGCGAGTCAGAAGACGTGCTTACTCGACGATGTGATCAATGCGGTGAAGTTGGTAATATTCCCGTTCACTTCGCTGATTCGAGTTTAGATGTGACTTTATGTGAGAGCTTTTTACTATAGTAAAAAAATTAGATGTGATTGTTTGTGAGAGCTTTTTACTGTAGAAAAACTTGAATTCTAAACTCGAATCAATGAAGTGAACGGTGTTTCTCGCCTTCTTATCGTAGATGGGTATGTGTATATAATTTTCGTCAACATCAATTACTTCTGTTGTTCTACTCCACATCCATGCTGATAATTAATCACGTTATTTGATCCCTCAAACTAGTTACATGAAACGCGAAAATTTCCATCTTTTTTTTTAACCCACTTTTTTAAATAGTTGAATTAATCCTGCCAATGTTGGCAACTGGACTTGCACAATTAGAGTTACATACTACAGGTAATAATCAATGTTATACAATCTTATAAACAAATTAAATATTTGGCAGATGCAGAAGAGAAACGCAGAAAAGGAGCGCAAACATCACTGCGGAGAACTGGGGCATAACTGCTTATCTTGTCCGCAGCTTCCGATACATTTCAAATGGGTGCGTGCTTATCAACTTTCAATTATTACAAAATTATCATATAGCGAGCCATATATATTAGTTTTTGAGCTCATATTTCTGGCCACTCGATTATGTTTTCTTTCTAGTTAATAATGCCTTTAATTTGTTGGGATATTGCAGCCACAAGTAGTTTCAACTTCCGCCGATTCGTGGCGGCCAATTACTAGTAATAACCATTATATTCTGGATCCTCCTAGCCCTGTTCAGCATGCTCGAGTGATCAAGAGAAGGATACCTCCTTGCTGCAGTCGTTGTGGTAAAATTAGTCATAACTGCAGGAGTTGTCGCCTGCTCATATGAAGCCTTTAGATAGTTGATTTTACTTTCTCCGGCTACGTGTACTCTTTTTTTTTTTTGGCTAATAAACTATTGAAAGAGATGATCTGAACTATGAATTCTTTGTTTGAGGTTCCAAGAGATTGTTTCCCTTCCTGCTCCAACCCTTCATTGTGGAGGGCTTAGTTAGACCATTTGCCCATCGATATTTGTCATGAAAACAATCTTGCAGAAAATTTACAAAAACACAATTGAAATAACAAATTTGCTCCTCACAGTACCATACCATGATACCAAAAGTATGCCCACTGCTGATAGATAGTATCCTTCTGTGATCTTGAAGGTAGTCTGTCGTGATACTTAAAAGTTTGGCAATCAACGGTGACTGGTTGTACTACTGATACTAGCCTACCGTGCATCTATTGGTTTTCTCACTGAAATATTAAAGTGCGAACGTATCTAATGAAAGATTCATAACTTGCGCATGGGTTTATAGTTACGATTTAAAGAGAAAATTATTAAATTAGTTAGATTTTTACTCTCTACTCTTACTTAATACATTTTGACTCTCTTATTTAATACATTTTTAACTAATATCGTTATTTGATTTAAAAAGATATTATTTAAAATAAATGGTAAAAATTCAGACTCATAAATTTTAAATAGTATTTATCTTTTTTTCTCTATTTAAAACTTTTTTATAAGCCATTTATATAATTCAAACTATGTAAATTGCGAACACATCTAGTGAAAGATTCAATCCTAGACTAAGTAAAATATATAAGACACTTTCTTATGTTTAGGTGTTGCTTATTTAAATGAATACGTATTGTGATTCAATTCAAGTTACTTAACTCAAATTGTAAAAAAAAAAAACGTCCTTAAAAACACGTGGCATCATTATTTAATGGAGAAGTTATAAAATGCTTTCTCACCCAAAAAAAAATGAAATAATTCAAATTTTTGGGTGGTTTCACATTACCCCAAATTTCCAAATTAAACAATGTCCATTGTAGATACAATAATGTGTCTCATTTTCATTAAATAATAAATAATAATAATAATAATAATAACAACGTCTCTCACGTATTATTTCCTTTTTTTTTTTTCTCTTTGGTTAAATTGTTGCCCTTTTTGTTGCTTTGTACGTGTCCTTTTTCAAAGGAAAAAAAAAAATGATTAGCTATTAAGAAAACAAAATTAGTAGTCTGACCTCAAAAACTGCCAACCAAACAAGCGAAAAGGAAAAGGGGATTATTCAAAAAAGATGCTATCGTCATTTTAACTCGGCATCGAATGTTGTCCATCTGCTGCAAATCAATCGAGACAAAACCAGACCAGGAAACTTATATCTATACATATATTAATTTCTATGGTCCCATATATATTACTCTGGCAAGCTCAGCTACCAATAACCCTTTTGGACCGGCAGGGGGAAGAGCTCCAAAACGACATTCTTTTAGCACTCTCTCTCTCTCTCTCTCTCTCTCTCTCTCAATTTCTTGAATCCGAGACAATTTTTGCCGAAACTGAAGCAGACCCACAACCGAATTACACTTTGTGACTGTGTCTGCATATTCAGTTGGTTCGGATTTTTTCTAGGATAGATGAAATCTGCTTTGGGAAATGAGAAATGGCTCGTTCTTTGGTGACCCAAGAAGCTGCCGTTTCGGATAATCTCAAAGGGTTTGTTCTTGCTACGGCTTCCGGTGCTTTTATTGGGTCAAGCTTCATTATCAAGAAGTTGGGTCTTAAGAGGGCTGGCGCATCTGGTTCAAGAGCCAGTAAGTTTAGTTTTCTTTTTTTCTTTTTTTTTAATTACTAATTGGATTCAATTTATTGACAAATAAACTACTAATTTGTAATGTTCTTACCTATTAGGGATTAATTTGCGTATTCTTAGTGAAAATTAAGTGGGGGTTATTTTGATTTTTTTAGCAAACTAAAAGTAGGTGAAGTTCTAGCATTTCCCATTTGCAATACAACTGACGAGCTATAGAGGGGGCAAAGAATCTATCTTTTTGGAGTCTTCATTTCTGTAAACAATAAGAAAAAAAATATATGTATTAGCATAATTTTGTCAAATTTAATACACTTAATCATCAATTGGCATTGACAAACTCTCCGATGTGGTTAATGTTTTTTTCCCCACGCTGACAATGTATTCATGTTCTGTCTTTGGCAAATATAATTACTTTTACTATTAATGTTGTCAGTAATTTGAGTCTCCTACATTGGATTTATTGTATTGTTGATTGATGAATTTAGGCTCTGGAGGTTACGGGTATCTATTAGAGCCGCTTTGGTGGATTGGCATGATAACCAGTAAGTCCTGTGCCGTTTCAATTGGTTGTTTGTTTGTTTTTGGTATTGAAAAGACGTCAGAAAAGTATGAAACTTGAATTTGTTTTACCTCCAAACTCTTGGCAGTGGTTGTTGGGGAACTTGCCAATTTTGCTGCGTACATGTTTGCTCCTGCCGCGCTCGTGACGCCTCTTGGAGCACTGAGTATAATTGTCAGGTAAACTGTTTTCTCTACTTGGTCTAAAATTTACTGGAGCTCAATTTTGCTGCTGTAAATCAAGATTGAATTTAAATTACTATGTTCTGGAATCATTCGTTCATATTTAATCTATGTTCAGCTGTGATTTTTTCAAAGCGAAACATCTTTGGGCTTTGGAGTTACACGGGGGTAGGAATTGGGATCCTGTCCCTATATGCATCGTCTTTCATACAGGCAAATACAGCCTTTATGTTTTAGATGATGAAATTTTATGATTTTGATTGTATTTGTATTTTTTTTCAGTGCTGTTCTAGCGCACTTCTTTTTAAAGGAAAAGTTGCCGAGAATGGGTGTTCTAGGATGCGTTTTGTGTGTGGTGGGATCTACAGTGATTGTGCTTCACGCGCCTAGTGAACATAGTCTGAGTTCAGTCGATGAAATCTGGGAACTAGCAATTCAACCAGGTAGAACCATTTAAAAGAGTCGCCTCTCTACTATAATCTGCATAACGTCTCTCATTCACCTGTTCAGATGTTTTGATGTCTTTGATGCAGCTTTTCTTTTGTATACGGCATCAGCAATTGCTGTAGTCTTGGTACTGATGTTGTATTGCGAACCACGCTATGGACAGACAAACATAATGGTTTATGTAGGAATATGTTCCGTTATTGGATCTTTAACAGTAAGTTTTTATGGCTTTTCCTGTTAAGGTGTACCCTCGCATATGTCATTGTGCCAAATTTTACATGTGTTTCCTGTTTTGTATTTCAGAGGATAGGCAAAAATGGACATTTTGAAACTAAAATAGGCAAAATAATTATTACTTTTTAACTTTTTTGTATTCCGTATTTTGACGTTTTTAACCCTTGATATGCAGGTTATGAGCATCAAAGCTGTAGGCATTGCTATTAAGCTTACTGTGGAGGGTTCAAGTCAGGCAGCAAACTTTGAAACCTGGGTTTTTGTTATGGTTTCAATTTCGTGCATAATCATTCAGCTGAATTATTTGAACAAGGTTAAGTTCTTTGTTCTTTTATCCCCTTCTCTCTACATCCAGCACTAAACTACTCTTTTATAAGACGAAAAGTTGTGTGTTTGGGACTAAAGGCAGTAGTGGTAAGATTAAAGACTACCCTTGAAAGTCTAGGCCACCGCCAATAGTATATCTTTTGCCGTGGACTTCAGTTTTGACATGTGCATGACCTTCTATTAAGCTATAAGCTTACAACGATGAAAAAGTTTCTTTGTGATAATTTGTTCCAAGCTGGCCAACATGCTAGGATAAGGCTTTGTACCAAGACTTAAATTTATAAGTCGATCTGTTCATGATAGGGAAGAAGAGTAGCCAGACTTTATATAGTTGGTTCTGGTTCCATTTCTTGTTGTTGTATGCTATTGCTTAGCCACTTTATTTCACCGATGTAATGGCAGTGACTGATTCAGCGGTCAAAGACATTTCGTAAAATTGCTTTGGTTAATATGAAGTTCGTTAAAAATTAATAAAACAATTATTAATGTTCATTTGCACCAGTTTTAGGGACAAAATAACTCCCATCCATTTAAATCTCTCTCTCTCTCTCTCTCTCTCTCTCTCTCTCTCTCTCTCTCTCTATATTCAGAAAATGGACAATATGATATGATAATCAATGCATAAATTGAATGTAAAACCTGCAACTTCTGGCCTTCCTGATGCCAAAAATGAATGTTATTTTAACATGCAGGCATTGGATACATTCAACACAGCAGTTGTTTCTCCGATTTATTATGCTTTGTTTACAACGCTCACTATTTTCGCAAGTGCCATTATGTTCAAGGTATCTTCGACTCATTTCTCTTATATTTTTAGTTCTGAAAATTTTTTGCACTTCTCAGCGTAATGGGGTGTGTAATGGGGTGTTTCCATCACTTTTAGGATTGGTCTGGTCAAAGTGCTAGCAGTATAATATCGGTGCTTTGTGGATTCATAACCGTGCTTTCTGGGACTATGGTATTGCATAGCACAAGGGAGCCAGAGCCTGCATCTTCTATAGGTGTGTATGTTCAAAGCATATCAATATAATACATGTATAAGTGCAAGCTATATGTAATCAAACTGTGCTGTTGGTGGTGAACTGGACAACTCTGATTTTACTTTCGGTATTTGATTATTCAAGTAGTTCAAAGAAAGGTCAGGACTTTTAGCCCGTTTGGTTCACAGGTTTGAACAAAAATTCAAGTTCTTGTGATTCAAAACACTGTAGCAAAAAGATTTAAATTGTGCTAAAACCTATAAACTTCAAAGTTTCCTTAATTACGTCTCTTTTATAAAGAAGACAAACAACAAAAGTAAAATCCTTTAGTATTTGAAAAGATACACATATAATTAAACTGATAGCTGGTTTGTGAAGGAGAGAATAATATTGAAAGAAAATGCATTGCTACATTGTTTCTTTATGGGATGACTTAATTGATTTGTTGGCTTTTGGCTTGCTTCTAACTTGCAGTTCACTGGTTGATGTACACCTCCCCCCACCCTCTCTCTCTCTCTTCTCTTTTCTTCTTTCCATTAGTTCACAAAGTGATTTGTTTGTCCTATATTCTCCTTTTTTGGACGTATTTCTTGCACTCTTTCATTTCTATCGCTAATTTCATTTCTTTTTAACATGCTATTTTATAGTAGTTTCTTCAGTTGCCTCATCTTGCATATCGGGTAAATTGTGTGTTCTTGTATTTGTATATACATCACACGAGTTGAACAGAAATTGCGCTTCTATTTTTTAAATACATTTCATTTCGGAATGAAACACAAAGAATTCCGACAATATTTGGTTTTTTGAGTAGTAGATCATTTCTCGTCTGTGTGCTGCAGACATCTATGCGTCAGTGTCTCCTCAGGTATCCATGTTTTTCAATGTAAACGGGGAAACCTGGAAACAGAAAGATGATCATGACATGTTCCCCAATTTCGAAGCAATTCTTAAACAAGACCACTTCCGGTAGAATTAAGTCGGACATATCCAAGTTGAAGCATCTTCCACACTGCAATAGGAGGCCGACGCCTTAAGAGAAATCATCACTCAGCATTGTTTTCTCCGAACTCAGTTTTCAGTATGTTGGTTTGGATGCTGTGGTGGCCTTTGTTCTCCTCCTTACAATCCACTAGTGGTGGCGGCGGCTGCTTTTGCAGGGAGTATATTTACCTTCCGATATGCACTCATGAAAATTTTTGCAATTTCTTTTTTTTTTGTTTTGGTCATAGCCTTCTGTAAATCAGTTGTAGCAGTGAAGTGGAAATCTGGGATGTACATTATTATTACTATTGTTTTCATTTTTTTCAGTTGTTAATTTTTGAAGGGCGGGTAACTGGGGACACCATTTCGAGATGTAAATTGGTTAGACTTATTTCTTTTTGGTGAAAGGATATTGAGTGATAGATTTGCAAGTCAACTTTTGTAGACAAGGATTCCATTCATTGAATAGAATTGTTCCTTTTTTTTTTTCCCTCAGTAGATTCGATGAAAATGCTCCAGTTTATTGAAAATTTAGGGAATTCTCTGATACACCTGGCGAACTGGTAGACCAAGTTTTTTAATCAATAGATCTGCATATTTTTTGAGTTTTACGTGATTTTATGCATATCTAACAAACATAAAACTTGGTGTACCGGTATGTTAACGTACCAGAAAAAGTCTTGAAAATTTATTCTCAACAAGTAATAAGTATTTTTCTGTTAGTTTGAGATTTTTGATCAAGCGAATAACCCGAAAACAAAGCCAAATAAGATGTAATACGTCACTACTATAGATGCTGATTCAGTAGCAGTAGGTGATATTACTTCGTTCTTTTTACAGTTCGATTAGATTCAAATTCTTTGCTGCAATCTTTTTTTTTATAAAAATTTAAATTTTAGTTCAAATTTTCCACTCGAACCTGCCAAAAGAACGGAGATGAACTCAAACTTTCGTCATGAAGTTCCATAGGACCGCAGGTCGCTTGATCAAATTTCAATGGGAGGATTTGAAACAGAACTGGTAAGAAAGGCCGCTATTCGTGATTAAAGGAGGGATAAAGAGTATGGCCTGTTACCGATCGAGTAGGACTGAATGGTAACATCTCAAATTTCCTGCAACTTCAAGTTTAACCATTGCGGGACCATTTCTTTGTTGTTGTTTTTTTTTTTTTTTTGTTTGAGCCTGTACTCTCTATTTATGCGTGTACTTGTATTTTTATGAGATTTTTACAATAAGGTAGTAAAAACAAAAATTTACTGGCAGGACTCTGTTATAAATCATCTTATAATGTATCATGTTCAATCTGTTTTATATATGTTTCTATTTTATTGTGATTTTTACAGATTTAACGGTTTAAAATATGGGAGAAAGAGAGAAATAGGTCAAGATTTAAAATGAATTAAAATTAATAGACCAATAGTTTATATAAGTTAATAAATAAGCCAAATTACTGTTTTCGTCCACAACTTGTCTGGTTATGAACCATAACTTGACAAATTATTCCCGGTTTTTATCTATAAATTGTCTGGCTATGAACCATAACTTAACGAGTTTGTCCATAACTTATCTGGTTATGAACCATAATTTGACAAGTTATGGCCTATTAATTTCTGTAACTAAAAGTTGGCCTATATACTTTCTTAAGCTTTTCATATTGACCTATTTCCTACTATTTCTCTTATTATGGACCCTATTATCAAAAATTTTATTTTATTTTGGGAAATTTACAATTCTATATACTATATATTTTGAGGTTATTAAATAATTATACTTTATATATTTTGGACTGTTACACTCTCATGCCTTCACATTGCAAATTGATCTTTAATCTATACCGTATCTCGTTTAACTGTTATTTAAGCATATGAAATTTCGAGAATATCTTTAATAAAAAAATCATCAATTTCGTTTAGTTATAGGAATAGAAGAAATACGTCATTAATCAATACGTCGTTTGGTTTACAAGCTTTCCTACTTGTATTGAACGTTTTGTTATAGCTGAGATGGCAAACCTGTATTAATAATATTCAGTTTTCCTTAAAAAAAAAAAAAAAGTCATTAATCAGAAAGGGTAATCTCAAAATCTTACAAGTCAAAATAAACAATTAACAGAGTAGGTCGTTTATTTTACTGATTTAAATTTTTTAATTTTAATTTTATTACAGTTAAAAATTCTAAAAAAAAATTACATTTAATTTTTCTGTTACAGTAAAAAATTCTTATATAAAATCAACACGGCATATAAGATATAAATATAACGTAAATTTTTAAACTATGCAAGTATTTATGAGTTACATAGGGTTGTGACTCGGACAAACTGAGTTGGACTCGTCCAACGAGATTTTCTGGCGAAGCCAGTAAGGCAACTAGCGTGCAATTGGATCTTTTTTTTTTTTTTTTTTGTTTTTTTGTTTCCGTAGAATGTGAACTTCGTTGTTCTAAAATGAGGCAACAGAGACGAATTGCGTGTATTAAATTCACTAAAAAATTTCGGACTATCTTCTCTTTCATTTCATTATTATCTTATTATTATTATTATATTATTATTATTATTATTATTATTATTATTATCTTCTTTCATTTCATTATTTTTTCCACTTGTATGTTATATGTCATTTTTAAAAGAGAAATTGATGTCATGACACTTGACGACGTAGTTATTAATATTGTTGACAGAATAATTTATTAAAAACCATCCTTTATTCATTAAAAAAAATAAAAACTCCTACTTTTCTTTTTTTGTTTGTTTTAGTTTTAGTTTTCTTTGTTCAAAAAAAGCATACTTGAAAGTTTCAAAGTATGTTAAAAAAAAAAAAAATTAAAACTCCTACTTTTCATTTCTTTTCGTTTTTGTTTTAGTTTTCTTTGTTAAAAAAAGCATATTTGAAAGTTTCAAAGTATGAATTATGCCTGGAAATCTTTTTTTTTTTTTTTTTTTTTTTTCAAGACATGTATTTGAAGTTGATATTTTAATTTGTGGAGGGCAAAACGTGGGGCTAGAAAAATAATTGTTCTTTTCTTCTTTTAATGAATCTTTCAAGTATAATTCATGTCTCATGATTTTTTTTTTCCTTCAAAGGTGTAACTTCATATCTCCTGCTTCTACTTTGGTAAAAAGAACACAAAATAATGATTGAAAAAAATTTCCTAGTACCTATCTCTTGTCCGTCTATTTGTAATGAAAGTTCAATTGAAAGCGATAATTTTAAAATTATTTAAACTAAACACTGATTTTGAATTATAATTTAAAATCACTGTAAACAAACACTGATTCTGAACTTAAATTAAAATTCAGAATTATGATTCTGGATCCATCTACTAAACAAATTCTCAATAATTGTGAACCAATGCTACAGGTGTGGACAAGGTCCATCCACTTTTATACTTGAATGCCGTACTTAGCAGGGTGGTTTTTTTTTTTTTTTTTTTTTTTTTTTTTCCTGATGAATGAGATCAAAACTATCCTTTTTTTATAGAAGTGATATTTTTTTTCCCCAAAAAAGAGAAGTGATGTTTTTATTATTGACTTGTTAGTCATAATCGTCTTTTATTAAATTAGATTTAGCTTCAACAACTTAAATGAGAGAAAACAAAAGAAATAATACTGAACAAAGTGAATAATATTGATTTCATAATGAATTTTAAAAGTGAATTCTAGGAAAATTTCTTCCTTTCTTTCGGTATTTATTTTTGTTTTTGTTTTTAAAGAAACAACGGTGATTTTTAACTTTTAAGCAGCCCAAGAAATATATGCACATAAAAAAGGAGATAATTAGATATTTAGATTTTTTTTTCTTGCTCAATGAGAGTGGAAAAACTGCCAAAACTTTTGACTTTTGCCGCCCCGCCACCACAATGGACAAATTCTCAATCACTCATTTTGTATTCACAAATGAGTATTCAACACTCAAAAATGAAAATGATTTCTCATCCAACATCGCAAGAGTCAGCTCTTGCAAATATGCGGGACTTGTCTTTTACTAGATTGACCGGAATGCCTTACTATCCTGTATATTTGGGGCCGACTCTTTATTAGATTAAAATTAAAATCCGTTTAGTTTGTTGATTCGAGTTAAAATGTGATTTTATGTAAAAATTTATTATTATAGTAAAAAAATATGACTATTTTTAAAAATTTTTTACTGTAAAAAAACTCAAATTATAATCTCTCTTTGCTTATCTCATCTCTTGCTAAAACATCAAAATTAATCAATACAAAGAATTACATATTAGAACTGTCAAAACACATATAATTATATTACATTAAAATATTTAAATAAAAAAATTCCCACTCTCATAAAATTTAAATTCAAAATCAAAATCATAGACATAAACTTATGATTCAAACGGGCCCTAAGAAATCTAATGGATCAAATGTGATATTTTTAATACCCCTCACAGAATATCCATTATCAATTTCTTTCCTTATCTCATCTCTTTCTGGATTCCGAACTATTCCAAAAAAAGGTTCGCATTTCTGTTGCTCTTAACCGGTGGAAAGAATTTGGATGTTTTCGGGGTAGAAACCGATTAATTCTCAAATCAACAGTTGACCAACGATACAAAAGGTGAAAAGTACACATAACCAAAAGTTCATTCTCCAAGGTAGTGAAAACTTCTACTAATCAAGACAATACATTACAAGACATCATTACCAGAAGTATTGATAATTCTTACTCCCACAAATAAACTTATGTGATTATTTTGGCTATACATTTCTTACACTTGAGAAATGAAAATCCACTATGCTTACAAACATTTTTATACACTGCGCAAAAATTAACATGTCCATGAGCGGTTTTTGAAGCCAGTTTGAGCCTCTTACAATGAACTAGAATTGGCAAAGTCCAAATGAGACTCACTTTAGGTCTGAATATAAAAGAGATGAAGACGCCTTCTCCGAGCTTATCCCTGATGCTAAAGGCGACAGTCCTGGTGTTTGAAACGACGAAAATGAGGATGGGGCTGGTGCTGACGCTGCAATGGTCGATAGAGTGCTGGTGTTAGTGCTGGCATGGATACTAGTTCCACTGGCAGACAATTCGGTGGCTGCCTTTGGCGCCGGAGGTCTTTCAATTTCCGTAATCCCTTCCAGCATCTGCACCACCTTTCCCATCATTGGCCTATGAGATGGTTGCTCTTGTATGCACCAAAAGCTCACCTGAACTGCTCTCATAACTTGATCCATATCAACCTCTTCAACTATCCTGTTGTCAACAATTCCCTGGACATTACCCTTCTCAAATTCCTCATATGCCCACATGGAGAACTTCTTGTGGTTTGTTTCTGCAGACACTTCAAAGTTCCTTCGACCGCTCACAATCTCCAACAAAACCATGCCATAAGAGTAAACATCAGATTTTGAAGTTATTGGAAGATTTGCAAGCCATTCTGGTGCCAGATATCCTCTAGTTCCTCTTACACTCTTTAAGGTTCTGTACCTATGGTCCTTTGGGTTAATGAGCTTAGCAAGGCCAAAATCCGACACTTTGGAACAGTAATTTTCATCCAAGAGTATGTTCTCCGGCTTTATATCACAATGCACGATGCAGTCCCGACATTCCTCGTGCAGGTAAGTGATCCCCCTTGCAGTGCCAAGAGCAATGTTAAACCGGTACTCCCAGTTCAACAATCTCCCTGAATTCTCATCCGTTTTGAAGAGGAAAGCATCGAGTGATCCATTTTTCATGAACTCGTAGACTAATAGCCTATGACGACCTTCGGAGCAAAAGCCAATCAGTCTCACAAGATTCAAATGGTGGGTGCTACTAATAGTTGCAACCTCCATCCTGAACTGTTTCTCACCTTGTTCAATGCCCTCCAGTTGCTTAACAGCAGCAACCATTTTATTGGCGAGAATACCTCTATAAACAGCCCCGAATCCTCCGGCACCAAGCTTCTCCTTGAAACCTTTGGTTGCCCTCTGGAGCTCCTTATACGAGAACTGAACTGGCGCGCCGGAAGCATATTCCAGGAGGGCGTAATGAGCAGACAATCCACCAAAATTAGGCCTGTTCCTACAAAACCAAAACCACAGACCACCCTCCAACATAACCAAACCGCCAAGGGTGGCCAAAACCACGACAGCTACTATCCAAGGACGCACCTTCCAGACGCTACTCTTGCCTTCACCCACTGAAGGCAGAGGGTTCTGAACCACAGGTCCACAAACCTTGATATAAGAACTGCTCATCATCGCAGGACTCTGATATCCGCTAAGAAAACTGGGCGTCTTATAGAAACAAAGCCCGGTGCCATCAGACAACGAAGTTGAAGCATCACAAGAGCCGCTTACGAGACAATTCAGCCTACAAGCCGATATCCCCACAAAGAAAACTTGAGCTTCATACTCAGGAGGGTATGTCAACAACTGGGTATGCTCCATATCCAACATAGTTGGGCTCCCCGGACAATCCGCAATCTCCACCTTCCTCCTACACCCTTTCCTGCTATCCTTTGGATCAACCGGTTCGAAATTCTGCGACGGGCACCCGCAAACTGGGTCGGACTCATTGTAACTACAAATTCCCATGTTCCCACAGTAGCCATAAACCTCGCACTGGTCAGCCACAGCAGCCCATCTCCCCATTTTAGTCCCACTACCTCTAGCGGAACTGAAAATCTTCAAATTCCCATCGTTATCTAATTTCAAAAACCTCAAGATATCACTCCCTTCAGCATAATCACTACTATAAGCAACAATCAAAGAACTAGACAAACTCGTATCGGAAATCGACAAAATCCCAATGGGCTGCAAAACCAAACTAGGAGAGCTCAAGTTTTTCTCATAAGAAGAGTTCAAACCCTGGTTCCAATACACTATGCTATCATTCCATTTAAGCGAAAGATTGCCATTTTTAAGAAGGCTAAAGGAGTACAGCCCAGATCGCAAAACCTTACCGACGGTGAAGTTCTGCGACGGGACGATGGAGTCCGTCGGGTGATCAAACGACGACCAAACCGTCGACGACCCATTTCGGAGAGCGAGGTTCCCGGTGTCGTCGAGGTCGAGGGAGGAGACGTGGCGGCCGGAGGTGCCGGATTCCCAGAGTTTGGCGCCGGAGCCGTTGACGAGGAGAAGGTTGCCGGAGGAGTCGAAGTTGAGGGCCCCACGGGAGTCCACGGCGGCGGAAGAGGCGGACCAGATGGGGACTCGGCCGGAGTAGAAGATGGCGGCGATGAAGGAGGGAGGGGAGGTGGAGGGGTCGGAGGGGAGGAAGCCGAGGGAGTAGGTTTTGTTGGGGGAAGACCATGTTTGGTTTAGGTTTGAGGCGTAGAGAGAGGAGCCTGGGGAGATTGAGACAGCCGCCATGGGAAGGAGGGCGAGGAGGAGAGAGAGATGGAAAGCCATTTTTTGCGATGTGGGATTTTTGGTTTGGAGCTGAAATTGTGGGTAATATGGTGAAGGCGACGAGAAGGGAAGGGAAGACTTTGACTGGAAAAGCAGGAAAAATGGTAGTGGTGGTGGTGGGATTGTTTCTAGTCTACATTAAGTCAGACAGAACAGTCGTACACGGCTGAGTATTTATGAATTTTGATTGTATTTGTATGGTATATATATATATATATATATATATAGATAGATATAGCCTGTGTAGGTGAATGAATATGAACCGTGTTTTTATGCTATTTTTACTTTTCGTCTGAGCCAGCCAGGCCAAATCACGAAAGCTAATTGCTTGGCTAGATCAAAACTCTTTGACTCGTTTTTTTTTTTAAATTTTTTTTATTGTTATTGTTTAAAATTTGACTCTTTCTTACATTGAGAAAAATAAAAAGAAAGAAAGTAAAAGGCTATATAATATCATGACCATGGGTCGGTAAGGTCGTGGATGCCCTTCTTTATTCTCATTTTCGTGATGCGTACTTTTCTCTTCTCCTTTTGTGATGCGTTTACCGTTTGATACTTAAAAACCACATTTTAAATTTTAAAATCACTACACATGACCAATGTAATGTATGATATTGGATGTGTGGTATATCAAATATGAGTGAAAATTAGATTCATTTTTTATGTATATTTAGATCAGATATTTTTTTTTATTTAATTGGTAAATCATGAGATTTTTTAAAGTGACTAAAAGAATGAAAGATGAAACTAATAATTCACTTTTTATTCAACAAAAATAGAGGTTAGTTATATAAGAAGAGAATTACATGTCCTTTTGTTTTTATGTTAAAAGAAAAGAAATAAAGGTCTGGACATCTCTTTTTCTTTTGATGATTAAATGTGTCCTTTTTGTTTTTATTTTTCTTTGGACACATGGAAGATAATTTAGTCTATAGAATGTCTTCTTTTGTGAACAATATGAGATTTGGAGCTACCTCTAAGAAAAGGATTAATTAGATATACATTTGAAAAAAATTATTTCAACAAGTTAATTAAAAAAATTATTTATAAGGATCATATTTGCAGAAAAGTTATCTTAGAGGACTATAAAAAATATTTAATTGGGATGATACTCGAGAAAAGTTATTTAAATATGGGACAAATTAAAAAAAAAAAAGAGATGCATTTAAGAATATTATATTTTTAAAATAAACAAAAATGATATGGATCGAAATGCATGTTTCGAACTCAAAAAAAAAAAAAAAGTTTGCATGTTTCAATTAAAATGTGCATTTTAATTGAATATTATATACGTATGGACAAGTCGAGAATATTTGAGAAAAAAATATTTTGTGGCAAATCAAATAGAAAAATAAACTACAAGGTAACTGTGAGAAAATCGTAGAACATATGACAATAAAGGGAAAAAAAAGTAGGAACGTATTTGAAAAAAATTAATTCAATAAGGGCAAACTAGAGAAAGATATTTATGAAAAAAAAATAGTTGAGAGAGTAAAAAACATGTTTAAGTACAGAGATACTTGAGAAAAATAATTAAGATGAGGTACATTTAAGAAAAGTTATTCAAATGGGAGAAGTTTCAAACAGAAAATAAAGAAGAGAAAATTTAAGAGAATAATAATATTAAGGCACTTTTATAACATACAAGATTTTAAAATAAACAACAAAACAGATTATTGAAATTCTCATTTCAACCAAAACCTGTGCTTTTGCTGAATAATATAAATCAATAGAACATGTTTGAGAAAAGAAAAAGATTTTAACAGAAAAATTAGATTGATAATAATTTGGAAGTGCATGAGAAAAACTAGTATTTGAGAGGACGACATGAAAATATAATGTTTAAGTAGAAACCCAAATTACTTCAACATGGAAAAAAGATAAGAAAATGTCTTTTATTAGAAAGTAGAAATTGAGAGAGTTGTGAAAAAAATTAGAGACACATTTGAGAAAAGTAATTTAATTAAATATTTGAATTTTTTTCTTTTATAATCAAAATAAATAGGGAAAAATATTTAAGTTAGAACACAGTTAAAGAAATATATATATATTTTAACAAGGACAAATAAAAAAGTACCTCAATAAAGCATATTTAAAAAAGTGGAAACTTTTTTACACTCAAAAGAGCATTTTTGTTTGGTTGGTGGATTCGTAGGCTGATTCGAATCATGGTTCGTAATTCGTTACGGTATTTTCTCTCAAAAAAAAAAACTCGTAAATCAAAAATGATTCTGAATCATGATTTCTGAATCTAGAAACCAAACGTCTACAATCATGTGAAATTTTTTTTAGTGATAAAGCTGAAATTTTATTAGCTGTAACAAAACAGTCAATACAACTAGGGTAACTATTAATCCATGAATAACTTTCATATAAACGAAAAAGTTAATTTTATTAATGTGTAGCAGCCATATTACGCATACGAGACGTATGGATAGATGAGCCACCAATAGCTTCTATCATCATCTATCTCAACTAAGAAAACTTAGCGAAGAGAAGACCTTCTCGAATGGCTATACATTCAGTCATTAGGAAAGTGAAAGAAAAAATAGAGAGAAATTTGTGTCCTTTGTACACATCTAGAAAAGAAAGATGTACCATATTGCTAATGTAATCTTCGTTTGGTTTGCATTCTGGTGGATTTGGACAACTCATATTTAGTTTCTTTTTTATGGAAGCACAACAACTTGTGCAATTGAATATTATATACGTATGGACAAGTCGAGAATATTTGAGAAAAAAAATATTTTGTGGCAAATCAAATAGAAAAATAAACTACAAGGTAAATGTGAGAAAATCGTAGAACATATGGCAATAAAGGGAAAAAAAAAAGTAAGTAGGAACGTATTTGAAAAATATTAATTCAATAAGGGCAAATTAGAGAAAGATATTTATGAAAAAACAATAGTTGAGAGAGTAAAAAACATGTTTAAGTACAGAGATACTTGAGAAAAATAATTAAGATGAGGTACATTTAAGAAAAGTTATTCAAATGGGAGAAGTTTCAAACAGAAAATAAAGAAGAGAAAATTTAAGAGAATAATAATATTAAGGCACTTTTATAACATACAAGATTTTAAAATAAACAACAAAACAGATTATTGAAATTCTCATTTCAACCAAAACCTGTGCTTTTGCTGAATAATATAAATCAATAGAACATGTTTGAGAAAAGAAAAAGATTTTAACAGAAAAATTAGATTGATAATAATTTGGAAGTGCATGAGAAAAACTAGTATTTGAGAGGACGACATGAAAATATAATGTTTAAGTAGAAACCCAAATTACTTCAACATGGAAAAAAAATAAGAAAATGTCTTTTATTAGAAAGTAGAAATTGAGAGAGTTGTGAAAAAAATTAGAGACACATTTGAGAAAAGTAATTTAATTAGGTAATTGAATTTTTTCTTTTATAATCAAAATAGATAGGGAAAAATATTTAAGTTATAACACAGTTAAAGAAAAAAATATATTTTAACAAGGACAAATAAAAAAGTAGCTCAATAAAGTATATTTAAAAAAGTGGAAACTTTTTTACACTCAAGAACATTTTTGTTTGGTTGGTGGATTCGTAGGCTGATTCGAATCACAGTTCGTAGTTCGTTACAGTATTTTCTCTCACAAAAAATACACGTAAATCGAAAATGATTCTAAATCATGATTCTGAATTCAGGAACCAAACGTCTACATCATGTGAAATTTTTTTTAGTGACAAAGCTGAAATTTATTAATGACAATGAACTATATCAGCTGTAACAAAATAGTCAATACAACTAGGGTAACTATTAATCCATGAATAACTTTCATATAAACGAAAAAGTTAATTTTATTAATGTGTAGCAGCCATATTACGCATACGAGACGTATGGATAGATGAACCACCAATAGCTTCTATCATCATCTATCTCAACTAAGAAAACTTAGCGAAGAGAAGGCCTTCTCGAATGGCTATACATTCAGTCATTAGGAAAGTGAAAGAAAAAATAGAGAGAAATTTGTGTCCTTTGTACACATCTAGAAAAGAAAGATGTACCATATTGCTAATGTAATATTCGTTTGGTTTGCATTCTGGTGGATTTGGACAACTCATATTTAGTTTCTTTTTTATGGGAGCACAACAACTTGTGTAGAAACTCTATTAGCATTGGCGTGTGACACAACAAAATTGTATATGGTAGACACAACATGTTAATCTAAGTGTTTTGTTGAGCATGAGCTAATCGCATGATAGTCGTGTCAGGCTTAAGGGTCGAGTATATGGGACCGAGCATTACTTGACAAACCCATGAGCACGACACTACAAAACATGTTAATACTAGGGTTGGTAATATGAGTCACGACACGACAACACGATTCGAAAACGACACGAATTTTGTGAGTTAAGGTTGAGAAAAAAAAGGTTCGGGTTAGAATTGGGTCAGTCTGAAATTGACACGAAAAGCATGGGTTAATTTCAGATTAGACCCGCTTAATCCGAACACGACACGAAACTCGTAAAAAACTAAAAAATACATATATTTTTTATTACATATTTTTTATTTTATTATGAACTTGTGATATCATGATAGTTATACTCAAAATTGTATACTATTATTTATTTGCTTAATTTCAATGGATGTTATTGTATTTTAGTGTGTTATGAATTTTAAGTTATTTCTAATAATTAAAAAACTAAATAAAAGTATACAATTTTCGTGTCAATTTCAGGTTCACGGGTCATTTTCGTGTTGTGTTCGTGTTGCGGTTTTTAAAAAATTTTGTGTCACGGGTCGTGTTCGGATTGACTACAAATTTAGAAAGAAACGATTAAAACACAACACGTGACACGAATTGCCACTCCTAATCAATACGCTTAGGCACAACATATTTTACACGTAATGAAATACATTTTTATTCTATTTATTTATTTTCTTTAATTCACAAATGGTCAAATATTAAATTAGTTGAGGTGCAATAATGAAATATATTTCAAAAAATTATGTTCAATCCTTTGTATTAGATATTTATTTGAATAGTTTTATTAAAAAAACTAAAACAAATAATAAAAACAAATATTAAAATTTGATAGCTAATTCAATAGGCCAATACGAACTTAAATGGCTAACATGATTAAATTAGACACATAAATTGACATGACACGAAATATTAAAACACAACACAGCTCTATGAGGTAGCTTGCCAAAATTTCTCAGACAAAAGGTCTATTTGAACTTCATAGTCAGTTGTGAATTCTTTCCAAGGAAAAGAAAAGTTGAAAATGAAAATATTACCTCCTTTAACCTAGATTGACCATAGTCATTCATTGCACGACTCAAACTTTTGATTTTCTTGGACAATCACATTTCGTGCGACACATGGTTAGGCTAATGTTGCATTTAGCAAGTCAGAGTGTCATAAACGGCATATTAATTTATTTTAGTTCAGTAATTTTGCAACATATAAAGTATCATTTTTCTTCTTTAGACTATTTGCTATTCTCTTTCAATTCCAAATATATATTCAGTATTCTACATGAATGTTGAACGTGTCAATTCGTGATCGAAAATTGTGTTTGGTTTGCCTCCTTTTCAAATATATAATTTTCGAAAGAACTTATCTTAATAAAGTAAATTAAAGTATAATATTATATATTTTCTCTGCCAAATTGAAACACAGTTTGGTTTTGGGAAAAATGCATTAATAAGGTACATAATTTTTGGTGAGTAAAATTTTTGTGATAAAGAAATGCACTAATATAAGGTTTCATTTAATTAATATGATACTGCTCTTTAGCAATAGAAAAATAAAATAAATACGATACCGCATTATGATATCGCATTCTTTAGTTCGTATACACTTTTGTATTTGGCTTTGCCCCACTCCAAAAATAACATATCTTTTTTTCTTATTTTTAAAAACAGTGCTTCCATAATTTTTAACCATCAAATCTTAATTAGGTTCCATAAATTTGTCATCAAACCTTAATTTGTTATATAAAATACATGACGTTAATTAATACACTGACAATGCAAGACATAGTATAAATATTGTAGCTCGTATTTCATTCTCATATAAAACGTTGTACGACAGAAGTATTGCTTAGTACGACATTCATCGATCTTATTGAAGTTGTGAATATATTAAAGTTGAGAGAGTTGTTGTACATTGATGGGATAAACCTTAAATATATTACGAGAAGTGTAGGCATCGTTTGCTATTTGAATGTTTACAGCTTCTGTTGGATGTAAACCGTCAAAGTACACATAAACCTTCTTGTTTGGACATGTTCGCCCACCTCTTTCACACAAAACTCCATTTCCACCTGCATACATACATATATATATATATATATATATATTGAGAGGAAATTAAAGAAAAGGAAATAATTAAATTAGTAATATAAGTAATACTTAATAAAATATAGATTTTTTCAAGTAATAGTTAAAGGCAGTTTCTCTTTTACCTTTTTATTATTTATCTAATTGTATATATCTTTCTTTCTTCTTGCATTAACTTTGTAATCTAATAATTTAATCCACTTTAAAAAAAAGTAAACAAATTATGAATTCAAATAATAATGTTGTTGGATTTTTGGTTTATTTGGGGTTTTGAGCTTGAAATAATAAGTAGATTTAGAAGTCAAATAACGGGATATAATTGAAAGTTTTTTAAAAAATTCTACGCAAAATGTTTAATTACAAAATTTCATTGGTGACTGTTAAAGTATAAAACTATTGTTGGCTCACCTCTTAATATGGAGCTTAAGCTTTTGAGATGGATTGGTAAACTAACGATGGTATCAGAGCGGGGGGTCCTGATTATGTATTGGGTTTTTAATATATCTCGGGCTTAAATATTTACGTGTTGGGCTTTTTAATTAATTTACCCACACAATTACCCATTGTCTAACCCACACGTGAGGGGGAGTGTTAAAGTATAAAACTATTGTTGGCCTACCTCCTATCTTAAGCTTTTGAGATAGATTGATAAACTAACAGTAGCAAATAGGAGACAAAAAACTTTTAGTTGGGGGTAAAAATATCACAAACTAATAGAAAGTGAGTCCTAATTATAAGTCACAATACTTGTGGTGACTTTGGACACTGTATCTCCTAACATTGTTCTTGAACCGTTTTTTTTTTTTTTTTTTTTTTAAATGATCTATTACGTGTCTGACGTAAGAAATTCTTGATAAGATTTTGAAGACGTTTAGAAGTGGTAAACCATGAAAATACAAAGGACAAGATGATGGGTAATAGCGATATCTACAACCTTGAGTTCGAGATACCACTGCGCAACAACTGCTCCTTGTGTTTGTAAAGCCTGCACACGTATCAAAATAGCTAAAATGTGAGAGAATTGATTCAAGCATACATATATTCTTATATTTTAAAGAAGAACGTTGAATTCCAATTTTATGTTGGAAAATGATTAAAATATTCATGCTTTTTTTTTTATGTCAATTCAATATATATATATATATATATATATATATATATGCGAGGTTACAAAATATAAAGATATTTTTGTGACTATGCCAGTTCGCCTATATATATATGTACACCATATACATTCATTTGACATGATCATATATAAGTCGTTGTATTTCTTCAAGAATATATACTAGCACCAAATTTGATCACATTTATTTTCTTTAAAAAAAAATCACATTTATTTTTGTTCGGATTAAGTAAAAAATAATATAACTTCTTTTCTCAATCCGAAATTCCAAATGAGGAATATTAGTACCTCTAGAAGCAGGAAAGAGGAGGATTTCTGAGACAATGTTATAGGTTTCAATGACAACCAAATTGGAATCAGGCATTCTCCGCTGGAAATCTTCCACCATTGACCTCAAATTTCTGTTGTAGATTTGAGCAACTTGGTTTATAGCTTGTGCACAAACGACAGTACAATTTGGCATGTTCAACTCTACCAACGGACTGTTTCCCAGTGGATAGACTGCAGTTAACACGAATTTCCTGGCTCCCAAACTGTACAGCTTCTGCATTTCACGAACAAATTATAAGTTTGACACAATGATATTATAATTCTTTTACGTAACAAGAGGATATTTTAGAAAAAAAGTTCAACTTCTATATAGTTATCTTTATTACGAAATTTGAATTTATTAGTAAATCTCTTGACTCTAGAAAATTTAATAATCTTCAGTGACTCTTACTCGATTACGTAATTATAACTTGTATATTTATTCAATTTAATGAAAAATAAAGCCGTTATTTATTTCCAAAACATAACACCGGTATCAAAACTCTATCACTTCAATGAGCAACAGACTTCGTTCATTTCACCAATTCGAGTTTTCAGTTTTAAGTTTATACAGTTAAAAGCTCTCAGAAAATGTCACATTTAACTTTTTCTATTACAGTTAAAAGCTCTAAAAAAATGTCACATCTCAGCTCGAATTGAAAACTCAAATCTACAAAACGAACGAGGCCTTAATTCTTGGTTACCTACGCGGCCACGCCCAACAATTGTCGACCCTACACCCCACGCCTGTTACCTCCCGGCACCCCTTGTGCCCCCGTCGATTTCTGTCCAGTGCCCTAGACAACTACAGTCTCTGCTCAAGCCTCTCCAAACTCATCTTCCCAACATCCGACTGTGTTTTTTCAACCCCTACCGTCTTTTATTAGTTATTTTGTTGTAGTGCTCATACAAAGATCGGAGTCTTGCACGGAACGTTAGGGAAATTTAGCTTTAATTTCCTATATAGTTATCTTCAGCAAGAGTTTTGAATTTGTTTGTAGTTATTTTCATACTATACTTTATAACAGATTTGATAGTCTTGAGTAACCTACCTGATTCTTTAATTATAATTTGCGAGTGTAAATATATGTATAAAAAAAATTAGGTTGTATGCTATATCTATTTGAATTTATTCCACATTTTCTTTGTGGTTCCAATTATTATATCATATTTTGTTGACTTTTGACTGGTTCATTTATGCGGTACAAATTAAAAACTCCAATATTCGAAGAGTAAATCCAAAGTTGAGTTTTGTTGGTGGCATTCCTCAAACTTTCTTTAAATATAATACTATCATTCGCCCACCTCTTAATAGCTTAAGTGTTTTTTTTTTTTTTTTTTTTTTTTCATGAATTGCAAACTAGGAGGAGATTTGATTGTCTAAGATAACTTATTCAAATTTTACTTTTTTTTTTCTTTTTAGGAAATAACTTACCAATTTTGTACCTGTAAATTTGTATTTATATGTAACCTAATGATAGTGTCTTTAACTAGTGAGTTTTCTCTCTTCAATCACGTTAAATGTTTGTCTTCTTTTCTTTAATTTTATTGGTAGTACGTGTGCCGGTTTTTTACGTCTGTCGTTTCAAGGCTTTAGAATTCTTATGTATAGAATATTGCAGTTATATCTTATGAACTAAGCCCGTGACCACCAATTAATATGAGTTCTTGAGTAAAATTTTTTGCTATTAATTAACACATTATTTGATTTTATGGTGCAGGTAAGTAAAAGTTTTACGTCCGCTTAAATGGATGAAAATATTTTGAAAGAAAACTAGCTAGCCAGGAATATTTTTACTTTTCATTTAATGTTCGATAATTTGTTTTTATCTGAAGCCATGCTCTATCCTTATTATTATTTTTTTTTTTAAAAGTTGTTTTCATTACACCATATATATGTGCGTCAGTGCCTCTGTGTGCATATATATATATATATATATGTATATATATATATGATGTGTATATAGAGAGAGAGAGGGTGTACATATATACCTGTAGACGCTGTGATAGAATGGCAGTAAGGTTGGCTGTGAATGTTTGAGGATCAACTCTGGGATAGGTTTGCCTGAGGAAGTAGTTAAAAAGGATGTCGTTTCCTCCCACCCCAACGACAAACAAGTAGCCTGGAAGTGAATCAGAGCTATTGCAACCAAGCTGAACTTCTAATTCTGGCAGTGTCACCTCCTGAAAGTCCCTTATTTGCTGACTCAAGCTGGTCACGTTCCCCTGAGAAAGAAAAAGAAAAATTGCGATTAATCAATGATCATCGTATACAGTAAACTATGAGATGATTTAGTGATTGAAATTATTATACGGATTAATTAAATATGTTAAGTTTTCTTTTTGTTTTTGTTTTTGTTTTTTTTGAGAAAAATGAAATATGTAAGTTATACAGATCACATATATATGGGAATAGTTTCACGTGTATCCTCCCTGTTATTACGCAATGTATAAATTAGAAACTTAGGTAATAGGCTTTTCTTGTGAAAGGTATAAATATTATGGTTGTTTGTTTCATGGTTGTATATGGACTCCTTTGGCTAGCCACCTTATCATATCGATGTCTAAAGTACATGCGAATATATATAATAATGCTGCCTGTGAACGGAGCTGTAAGGCATGTGTCTTCACTCAAATTTTTAAAATTTTGAATATTTTGTGTATAAATGTTTTAAAAGTAAGTTTAGTTGTGTGTAAATGTAATAAGAAATATTATAATTTTACTCACACTTAATAATAAAAACTTATGACTATATATTCTCACTTAATAAGAATTTATCGTTTACAATCATCTATATTGTGTCTCCACTAAAAATGTTTTCTGACATCACCATTGGCGTGTGATGACTAGTCATATGAGCGGACCCGTTTAGTTCATTGATTTGAGTTTTTAATTCGAGTTGAGATATGACTTTATGTGAGAGCTTTTTACTGTAGAAAAAAAGTTAGATGTGACTGTTTCTGAAAACTTTTTACTGTAGTAAAACTTAAATTTTAAACTCAAATAAGTAAAATGAACGGGAAAATGAATCACTTCACGTATATTCTACGTATAAATGTGTGCATATGGGTTTATGATTTCTTAATTCGTTTTTCTGTGGCACTAGTGAAAAGAAAAAGAACTTAAACAACAATTGAAAACAATAAATGGATAGATTTTAGATTACATATATATGGTATACGTTTTTAACAAATACCATGAACATAGTATCAAAAGTAAGTTTTGAGGCATGTAGAAGCTAGCAAGCTTACCGAAATTAAGCTGGTCTCATCTAAAATACCAGAAGAACCAGATGCATGATTGACACCATAAACAATTTTCCTTCCCTTTGTTGTGGGATCTTTGAAAGGAGGAATTAAGTTTGGCAGGTTAAGAAGCTCACCAAGAAGATCAACCAAATTTTTGCCGTCTGTAAACCGGCCGGTAGGACCGTTTGGGAAGTCTATTCCATAAGGCAAATAATTCACTTGTGCCCTATTTTCAAAGAAGTTATTGTTGCCATTGTCCACAAGGGAGCTTCCAAAAACAAACAGCCCCCAAGTTCTATTTGCCCTAGTAGTGATTTCCTGATCTGGAAATGCACAGTTATTGGATTGGGAGGTGCATAGGGACAAATAAGAGAGGAAACAGAGAAGAAAGATAACAAATAGCATTTTTGAATGAGTTTCTGATGATGCCATTTTAAAGCAAGGAGACTTTGTTTGGATTACTATTAATGAGAAGGGGGGAAGAGATGGGATATAAATAGGGCTTCGTTTCATTCATTCAATTTTTTTTATTTTTTTTATTATGGTTATTAAATCTGGTTAAAATCACATTAGATTAAAAAAATATGTAAAAAGATAGTTTCTGGTATAAATCTAACGGTTGAAAGTATGGAATTATAAGTAGTTTATTTTTTTTAGTCCTACTAGAGAAACTCTTTTTTTTTTTTATGAAGTGAAATTCAATTATTATTTTTAGGCAAGTTGATGTTTTTCTCATTTGCTTGGCAAAATAATAAAGTAAATTGAATAAACTAACATCAACAATTGGAATTAGTTAGAAATGGTATGGGTTTTGTTCAATGCCATACTTTATTACGCTTCACATTGTTGACGAAAGTGACATGGCTAGAGAGGTCACACTAGCCTCATACGTTGAATAATGGATTTATCCATAAAATTCAATTTCTTATTAGACTTCCCATAATTATACACGCAATCCGTGTAAGGAAACTATTGAAATTCTAAATTAATTTATATTAAATATAGGTAATATATTCTCTCTCAGCTCTAAACCAAGAGTCATCATTATACTGACAAATGCAATTTTATAAGTTTGTGGCGTGCACTTTACTTATACATAATCGATGTGGACATGAACATGAATCGAAGTGCACGAGATTTACTATTTAGAATAAATAGTTGGAATTCAGAGTGAGGAGTTGAAAATAGAACAAGTTATTACTCAAGTTATAGGCTTATTATAACTAGCGTCTTGTTGAAAATAGAACAAGTTATTACTCAAGTTATAGGCTTATAAGATTTCGCAAATTGGTATCTTAAAAGCTTTTATTCATGTATTCTCTATTCAATCTTAAAGGTAAAATAGTACATTGACGGATTTCCAAAACTTGCTTGATTGCACTTGCAGTACTTGTAATATATTTTTGCCATTTTCAGATTTTGCACTGGGGATGCAATTAGTTTAATTATTAGATTGTATTACACAGGGTAAATTATAGAGAGAACACTAATCAAACAAGAAAATATCCTTACTACTTCATTAAATTTACAACACCAAATATATGTTACATACTTTCCAAAACCTAATATTTAATATTGGATATATATATATATATATATATATATTTCCCTAACCTAGAGAGTTTATGTATATAATAGATACCAACTAAACATATCTCACGAGAGTCTTAGCATATTTTGGAGGCCATTTGTTGAATATTAGTGGGATAAACTTCACTTTCGAGATTAGAAGTATAGGCCTTGCTTGCTATTTGGACATTCACAGCTTCAGTTGGATGCAAACCATCGAAAAACACACGAGTACTCCTATCTTCACACACTTGCCCTCCTCTTTTGCATAAAACTCCATTCCCTCCTTCATTCATTAATGCCACTTCACAACAAGGATTGCTGGCCTCCTTAAAACCTGCAATAGTTAATTAAGCCCGTTAATATAGTTAATTAAGGCCGTGTTAAACAGGCGGATCCGTGGCTCTTATGGGTCGTCCCCGGCCCAATCCACCCGAGCATCCGGTCTGAGTCGGGCATAGGTCGTTGGCCTAATTTTACAACTTATAGTAGATCTTTAATTTTGTCTATATATAAAAAAATATCAGTGTATCCTCATGTCCCCGACATAACGGTTATTTAATAATCTCCTGAGACTACATGTGAAACAGAAAGAAATTTGACTCATACTTTCATCAGCACGTAACAGTCTTAAATTACATCAGTCATATCCATATTTAGCAGGTTAGTAAGTGACATAATTGTAAACCTTACACCATGCAATAAGAATCGTTCCTGAGAATGATGGAAGAGAGAATTCTCGTAGACTGTCCTTCACTAAAGTACTAGTTTCATTCACATGTACCTCTTTGTACAACCATTGAGATGGAAGTTATAAGTAAACAAATTTCGTTATATTTAGTTGATACTAATTATTTGGAAATAATATGTATTATTACCTTTTAAGGAAGGATTTCTGATGATGTCCCTTATAATCTTGTAAGAGTTGACATAAACAAGAGTGGAGCCGGGCATTTGTGTCTTGATGACATCCACTAATGATTTCAGGTGGTTGTTGAAGAGGCGAGCTGCAAGGTTGAGGCCTTGTATGCACCGATTCTGTGTTGTTGGTCGGCCCACTGACGTCATAACCATGGGACTGCACCCAATTGGGTTTATGGACATTAATACAAACTTTCGACCTCCCAAGCTGTACAATTTCTGCATGACCAATAAATTACTAAGTATTTGTCGCATTATACATTGGACAAAGGATGGAAAAATCCTTTTCTTTTTCCTTTTGAGTCGAGAATTATAAAGAAAAAAAAAAAAACATAAATTTCTAAGGAAACAAAAATCCTAAAAAAATGAGAAAGCTAATTGGATAAGTTGGGAGGGCCTATCCGCTTTAGATGCGACAGGAGTGTTGCTTTTGCATGACAATAAGGATTCAGATAATCTTAAATGTTAAAACAGGAAAAATCAGTTAACAAAGCATTTTTAATATTTTTTTAGTGATGGTGATATAATTTGATTCGTTAGATATCATTTTATACACTAATAATGGATAGATGATCTAAGTCTGATCAATAATATCAGCTCGTTAAAAACGCCTTATTTAGCAACAAAAATGAGAAATATGTTTGATGATTAAAGATTAAGATATGACATTATCTACGATCAAGATTAAAGCAACAAAAAGATTGACGGTTAAAGATTGATTAGGTATTTTTGTCATTTTCACTGCTACCAACAGTTAAAGAGAAATGCGTTTAAAAAAAGCTGAACGGCTCGACGGAAGCACAGCTCAAATCAAAACGACTTTTGAGTGAGTCAAATCAAAACGACTTTTTATTTTTTTGTAAATAAATACTGATTTAAACAAGAATTATGATTTTAGAATCCTTATACCAAACGTTCTCTTAAATTCGAGGGCGTTGGGATCCAACAACAAACCTGTACAAAAATAGTGGCCATCTTGACAATGTGATCTCATTATTACTAGGTAAAAAAAAAGGGCGACTCCTGATCTCATTATATAGATGTATGTATATATATTCTGAAATTAAAACTCTAATCAAAGGAAGTTAATGCAACTTGGACCAAATGTCCACGTATGTATATATTATAGTAAATGTACATCTTTAATTGTCTGTCTTTAAAATGGGAAACTTAGACCAAATATGTCATGTCCGTATTAAATGAGTGAGAGAGAGAGAGAAAAAATAAAATAAAAGGGCAAAAATGTAAAGTAAATGAATGCATGCATATTATACCTTGATCTGGTGGGACAAAGAGGCGGTGAGGTTTGCAGTAAAAGCTTGGAGACTGACATTGTGGTTGAGTCCTCTCAGGAAGTAGTTGAATGAGTAATCGTTTGAGCCACTTCCCACCACAAACAAGTAGTCTGAAACTGATGATTTATTGGTTTTGCCCCCCAGCTGAGCCTCCAGTTCCGGCAAAGTTATTTGCTCAAAGTTTCTGATTTGTTGATTCAGACTTGTTACATTGCCCTGTGGATATATATATATATATATATATATATGAAAAAGATAAAAAAAAGAGTAATCTTAAAAAAATGCTTGAAACAATACCGGTATTAAACACCACCACTAAATAAAAGGTGAATTTTATCTGTGAATCTTATACTGCATGCAGGACCTGCATTCTAAACACCGCTTAATATCGGAAATGTTTTAGAGAAAGAGATAAAATTGTCAAACCTAAAGGAAAATGATTAAAATATTAAAGTCTAGTTTTGGCAATAGTTACTGTTCTGTTTTTTTGTTTACTAAAATAAATGGTAAAGTTTTACAGAACATTACCAATTAAATATGTGATACTGAATTGACCTTAGAGGGTCCCGCATTATTAAGTATTAGCTTATATTGAGAAAATGAAGGAACCTGGGCGTACAAACATCTTATCTTAAGAGAAATAGTAGAAAATAGGTCAATATAAAAAGCTTAAGAAAGTATATAAGTCAATTTTTAGTTATAAAAATTAATAGGCCATAACTTGTTAAGTTATGGTTCATAACTAGATAAGTTATGGATAAACTTGTCAAGTTATAGTTCATAGCCAGACAAGTTATGGATAATAACTTATCAAGTTATGGTTCATAACCAGACAAGTTATGGACAAAAACAGTAATTTGGCCTATTTATTAACTTATGTAAACTATTGGCCTAATAATTTTAATTCATCTCAAGTCTTGGCCTATTTTCCTCTTTCTCTCTTATCTTAATTTAATAGGCCTAAGAACAAAATGCCAAAGGACTACGAAAATTTAAGGACTAATATTTTATAAAATAAAAAAAAATGTAAGAACAAAATTATTGTCTTTGCGCCAAAAACCTAAACTAAAAACAACGTCTACAAGTTTTTCCGGCTACATTAATGACTATTTTTAATGAGTATTTATAGTGAATATTCATATTTTGTTAAACTAAAAAACTGTTAATTTTTTTTTTTTTTAATTTGACCAATCAATAACTTTTTTGTGGTTCAATTAAATTGATAAATTAGTCATATGTTCGTATATTCATGATTAACTAATCAATAATTTATAAAAAAATTCAATGTCGATGATTTACGAAACCATTTTTAGCACCGGAAGCATAATTAACACCGTGAAGAATTCTACTTCCTTTGGTCGAGGGATCGGCGAAAGCGGGAAGGAAGGAAGGAAGGCGAAGCTTCTCGCCGATGAGGTCGACGACGTTCTTCCCGTTTGTGAATCTCCCGGAAGGCCCCAGAGGGAAATCCACGCCATATGGCAAGTAATTGGCTTTGGCCAAGGAGTTCCCTAAGAAGTTGTTGTTGCCATTGTCCACTAGAGAGCTTCCGAACACAAACATTCCTTTAACGTTATTGTCCCCAGTTTTGTTAATGTCGCAACAACAACAACTGCATTGGGAGAAGCAAGAGAAAAGTTGGAACATAATGAGGAATGCTATAAATGGAAGTGTTGAAGATGGTGACATTTTTGGAGTAGCCATTGGAGCCTAAGTGGTAACTTTGGTGGTAGTTTCTAACTTTCTACGTGTGAATTTATAAGGTTAAAGGGGAATTTTTGGGATAGGGTCATTTATAGAGGAAAAGTCGTGTCTATTGGGGACATTTTAACAGAAGGGCTACCTAACTTCTTTAGCAATGTATTAATTGTTTAGCTTATTTTCTGTGCAATTCTTTTATGATATTGGCTACCCCAGATGATACGAGAGATACGATTAATGCATGTAAACGGTCTATCGAGTATCGACTATCAATACACACAATCATCTCTCTCTCTCTCCCCCCAATATACACAATCATACCTTTCTCACTAGAGACATTTATAAAGATAGTGAAAGGTAACAATTTTGTGATTGTACACATGACCTGACCTGACGGTAATTTTGTATCTAAGTATTCTACGATAAGGTGCAGAGTTTAAGGGCCCGTTTAATTCGTTGATTTGAGTTTTTAATTTATGTTGGGATGTGACTTTATGTGAGAGCTTTTTACTGTAGCAAAAAAGTTTAATGTGACTGTTTCTGAGAGCTTTTTACTGTAGCAAAAAAGTTTAATGTGACTGTTTCTGAGAGCTTTTTACTGTAGCAAAACTCGAATTGGTGAAATGGACGGGGGGCCTGAATCGATCCACCTCAAATTCAAAAAAAAAAAAAAGTAATAATTGTGAGGTGGAAGATCACATTTGTTGTACTATCTTATTGTCTCGTTATAGTAAAACAAATATTGTTTGCGACAAAGTTAATTAACTTTCACATTAAAAGTGAACTATTATAACTCTTTGTTTATATATGCTTTATTTTATTGTTTTTAATTGTTTGAGTTATTGCTCTCAGAAATAGAGATTAGGGCTCAATTCCAAAACGGATTCACCTTATTGGTGGGTTCAATCTTTCAGACTTAATTTAGTTCTTTAGCTTTGATTAATATTGATAATTAAATATTTTTTCTGCTTTGGCTTGTAAGGCTAGTTTATTAAATATTATTTATTTTTTATGGAAGCTGGCAGTTTGGTGAATTAATGAACAGTAAAGCGGTCGTCAACCTAATGGGAATTTTTTCCCCCCTTCTTGATGCATGTAATTACTCATTTATTAAAAAAAAAAAGAAGAAGAAGAAGACAACAAAATAAAAACAAGATACATTTTAACAGAAGGGCTACCTAACTTCTTTAGCAATGTATTAATTGTTTAGCTTATTTTCTGTGCAATTCTTTTATGATATTGGCTACCCCAGATGATACGAGAGATACGATTAATGCATGTAAACGGTCTATCGAGTATCGACTATCAATACACACAATCATCTCTCTCTCTCTCCCCAATACACACAATCATACCTCTCTCACTAGAGACATTTATAAAGATAGTGAAAGGTAACAATTTTGTGATTGTACACATGACCTGACCTGACGGTAATTTTGTATCTAAGTATTCTACGATAAGGTGCAGAGTTTAAGGGCCCGTTTAGTTTGTTGATTTGAGTTTTTAATTTATGTTGGGATGTGACTTTATGTGATAGTTTTTTACTGTAGTAAAAAAGTTTAATGTGACTGTTTCTGAGAGCTTTTTACTGTAGCAAAACTCAAATCGGTGAAATGAACAGGGCCTGAATCAATCCACCTCAAATTCAAAAAAAAAGTAATAATTGTGAGGTGGAAGATCACATTTGTTGTACTATCTTATTGTCTCCTTATAGTAAAACAAATATTGTTTGCGACAAAGTTAATTAACTCTCACATTAAAAGTGAACTATTATAACTCTTTGTTTATATATGCTTTATTTTATTGTTTTTAATTGTTTGAGTTATTGCTCTCAGAAATAGAGATTAGGGCTCAATTCCTAAACGGATTCACCTTATTGGTGGGGTCAATCTTTCAGACTTAATTTAGTTCTTTAGCTTTGATTAATATTGATAATTAAATATTTTTTCTGCTTTAGCTTGTAAGGCTAGTTTATTAAATATTATTTATTTTTTTATGGAAGCTGGCAGTTTGGTGAATTAATGAACAGTAAAGCGGTCGTCAACCTAATGGGAATTTTTTTCCCCCCTTCTTGATGCATGTAATTACTCATTTATTAAAAAAAAAAAGGAAAAAAAAGAAGAAGAAGAAGAAGAAGACAACAAAATAGAAACAAGATATGAAAAAGAAACGATGACCAAAAAAACTTTTTGAGAAAAGTCTATAGATAATGATTTGCATGATTAATTTAGAACACTTTTTTATATAATTAGGTAGGTATGTGCAGTGTTTTTTTTTTATTATTAACTATTATGTTAAAGGAAAATAGAGAAATAGAAGGAAAAGATGAGAGAAAAGCAAGTTCTCAAATTTAATTTCCAGTTAAAACCTCATATCCAGAGTTATTCCCTTATCCTCGCGAATAAAATCTATTGCCTAGCTAGCTATTAATTGTTTAGCAAAGACCATTTCATTTCAAATAAAATAAAAAATAAAAAATAAAAAATAAAATTGTTTAGCAAAGACATGAAATTCATCAACATGGTGACTAGCCTGATAAGTGGGTGCAGAAAAGAAGTCATCATAAATATCATATATATTATTATTGTTTTAATAACATAACCAACCAAATAAAAGTTTGCAGCAGAATAATTGGAACTTACATATATCATGGAAATTGATGAGTTGAATTAATACTTGTATCTGCAGCAATATTTATGCTCTGGGATAATTTTGGCAATAAATTTATATATAAGGGATAAGGGAAACCAAATAGTAATTACCTTAGCATCTTATTTAATGAAGTGCACAGTGTTTATATATATACCAGCAAAGTGAACAGTTACTTTAGGAATAGGAATATATATAAAACTGTCCAAGCTTTTAGAAAATAATATTTTGAAAACAACCTTCCTCGCTGTCATGAAAATCTATATTTATTTTTGCATTACCATGCATACACATGGCTTTATAAACTTAGGTACCATTTATATATGTCTTGATGTCGCAAAAGAACTGTCCACAAGGGCCAAGGCACAAATTTATGTTTCACCTGCCCCTTTTCTAAGAATTATCTAATTAAGTTGGCATCTATTAGGGATTCCAACCCCACATCAAGCACAAATTATGTATATTTGTATGCATATAGATAATTAAAATCACCAAATATTTCATTAAAAAACTTGACATAATCAGAAGGATGAGGAGGTATAATATGTACATTTTAAAATTTAAGAGAGTATATTATTAACATGAATGATAAAGTTCATTAGAAATTTGTAAAATTTATCTTTTTATCTGTTTTTTTTTTTTTTTTTTTTCCTTTTACCATGGTTACTTCCTTATTATCAGAGGGAGGGAAAAAACGACAAGACTAAATAGTTGCAGAATGAGCCAGAGAGAAAACTAAATGCGGTCGCAGAGGGTAGCATGGGAATTGAATTGGAAGGTCAGTTTGTGTCTGTTGGAGCAAGACACTTGTTATTTGGAGAAAACTGCATGGAAATGGATTTCTGTCCTCATCTTCTTCTGACATGAGTCGTAAATTGGATAAAAAGACCACTCAAAGTGTATTATAATTATCAAGTTCTACCCGCCATATTTGTCAATAATATATAGGTGGGTACGTACTAGTTCACGGATTGGATTTGACAGATTGAAGAACCCGTTTCGTTCACTAATTTAAGTTTTTAATTTAAGTTGAGATGTGATGTTGTGTGAGAATTTTTTACTGTAGTAAAAAAGTTAAATGTGACTATTTCTGAAAGTTTTTTACTGTAACAAAACTCGAATTCTAAACTCGAATCAGCGAAAAGGATGAGAATCAACTCAAAAATTTTGGATTAAAATTTCCGAATCAACCAAATGAAAAATTCCTCCAATCCAACCCCAAAAGCAAAAGTATTGGGAATAGAAACATATGGCTAAGATAAAATAGTTTAACAAAATCTTGAATGTTACAATCCAATCGACTTCGAGTCTTCTTTTCTTAAGTAAACAGAGAATAATTGATATTAAAGGCAACTAGTACATTTCAATTATAGATCGGTGCCCAGTTAGGTTGACAACCAAATCTATAGTAACAGAAGTTCAGTAAAACTAAAATACACGTAAATTAAAAATAATTCTAATCACTCAACAATGGATGTTTGATTGGAGGATTCAAACCATGATTTGAATTATGATTCATGATTTATTACAATATTTTTCTCACAAAAATACACGTAAATTAAAAATAATTCTAATCACATGATTCTAATTTATGAATCAAACGTCTACTTAATTCACATCCCCAACTTCTCAATAACAGATAGACTTCTCTGCAAAGAGTGAGAAACAACAAACAAGATAAGAACAATAAATACTAATATGTATTATATATATATATATATATATATATGTATAGCTTAAACCACAAACCAACCCGAATAAGCATGATTATAAACGAATGATTATAACTCAATCCAAATTGCTCACTGAAAATAAATGGTATGTTTGTTTCACAATTCAAATTAAGCACTTCAATTATATCTGTGAAAAAAAAATACTGTAATAAAAAATTTTAATTCAATTTTTGTAAGAAAAATTACTATAGCAATAGAATTTAAGTTGTAAGTTGAATGTGATGGAAGAGTGTACACGTAAGACTTCTTTTCATCTTTCCTTCCAAAGGCCAGTCTCGGAGAGACTACTACATAAATAATATACTTTGGTCACGGGTCTTTGAAATTTCTTGACAATTCTACTTGTATCTTTGTACATACAATATTGCAATGAATGATGGACAGTTGAGACTCGGATATTGGTTTGCACAACTATGGCCCTGTTCGGTTGCATGTTTTTACTCTAGAAGGTCCACTCGAGTGATACAGGCTGGCTTAAGTTTAAGTTCGGCTTCATTTTTCTCGAGACCAAACTCGAATAATCACTCAAGTTTTTTCCCCATTCTCGAGTTAATGGCCTCCCACCTATTCGAGTTAAGTCCTCTGAACTGCTACAGTGATGATTCCTGACCTCTTGAGCACACAGTTGAGATTCATCCACCTTTGTCGTGCATGTCGCTTGCTTTCTTCCTTCGAGCCCTTCATTCACGTGCTTCTCCTCTGATCGAGATTGGCAGGTTGCAGATCTCTTTTGACCGTGGCCGTATGCTTCTTCAATGTTATAATCCTTTCTCCTCTGTCCAAATTCGTTGCAGATCTATTTTCCTCCAATCTTTAGATTTGGAAACCCTAGCCCGCAACCTTGACGAAGCCGATTTACATCATTTTTGTTTCCCCTTAAAAACGGAGAAATTTGTGGGGAATCCATCGGTGCAGCAACCTCGGTGGGTAAACATCGTAGTTCGATGTAGAGGCAAGAGTTCGCATCGTAAAGCTCCCCAGTCGAAACGTCAAACCTACTTCCCCTGCCCCTATCATCGCCGGTACCTCAGACTTGCTAACCCTTCCTCGCGTTTGGAGAATATCCAAGGGGATCAAATTTCCTCCTCCATAGGCTCAAATTCGGTAAGTATAGAACCAATTTATTGATTTATTTGTTCGGCATTTTGTGATTTAACATCCATATGCAATAGTTTGGGAAAAGCTTGTGTTCAATTTCTGGTAAAAATTCATAGAGCAAAACCATACTTGTACAGGTTTCTCTAGGCGTTTATAAGAGCAAAACCAGTTGTATGGGCACCCCTGGTTTAGGAGAAAAAGAGCCAAACTCAACTTTGTTTTTTTCCTCTCTTGAATGCTTTGTTGCTTCAGTTACAAAATGTGATTTGGGCACCCCTGGTTTAAGAGAAAAAGACCTGAAAATTTTAAGTATATCCATATGGCACATAATTTTTAATCATCTTCCAAATGTATTTTAATCATCTTCTAGTAACTTTTTATATGGTATTTTAATTTATTAAATGAAAAAAATGCCTACATTGCTTTTAAATTTATTACTACTTATAGATGATTCACTTTTATTTATTCAAATTAAATTACATAAAATCAATTAAATGAAAGAAAAAAAAATTCAGGATACTATTCACAACTCAAGAATTAGTTTAAACAAACATAAACTCAAATAAATTATAATCTCAAATTATAACTCAAGTTTACACAACTAAACACAATTTTAAATTACAACTTCAACTCAAATTATAACTCAAACTCAACTCAAAATCTATATTTAAATTACCTAACTCAAAAAGGACAAAATATCAACCCCTATAGTTCTTTAGTTTTTTATTTATTTTTACCTCGTTATCAATGCTATTTTCCAAGTGGAAGTTGACTAGATAATAAGTTCACAAGTCTTTGCGGTCTGTCATAAATGAAACCCGGATATATCAATCAGTACTTTAGGGCTCCACTTGATGGTCTCAATTTTTGGTTCAAAATGTTGAGAATAAAACAATGGGGATAAACTTAACGTTCTTTTTTATAAAATAAAATTTTTTTAAAAAAAAAAAAGAGAAATGTGGTTGAAAACATTAAATCATTAGTTTGAACTGAACTTAAAAAAGTTTTACCAAATTCTTGGTTCAAAATACTTGGGTCCGTTTATTTCACGCGTTTAAACCCATAATTTTAATTGTATTACATTATTTTTCTCTCAAAAACAATTTGAATAAAAAAATTTATCGTCAATAATTCTCTCACAAAATTTGAATTCATAATTAAAATTAGTGACTTAAATGCGTAAACTAAACGGATCATTAAATTACCTGTTTACCCAAACGATGTCTTAGTTATGTGGATGAATGTAACGTGATCCCATGACTAAAGGTGAAGCTGAAACAAAACTCATCTCTCCCCCCATCTGGAAACAATTGTGAGAATCAACAGTTAAAGAAGTTTTTTCAGAGTCATATATTATAGTAGCAGACATATTTGCCCCTGGACTCATTCCTGGTGTGTGTAGCCATTACGTCTAGTTTTACAAGGACTCCAAAATCCAGTATCATGATAGATGGGCCTAGATTAGAAGAAAACGTGGGCACAAAAAGGCGCAAGATTTGACAATTTAGCCTCGTTTATTTCACCAATTTAAATTTATAATTCGAGTTTTGTTATAATAAAAAAATTTTCAGAAACAATCACATCTAATTTTTTTATTACAGTCAAAAATTCTCATATAAAGTCACATCTTAACTCAAATTAAAAACTCAAATTAACGAACTAAACGGGCCCATTTGTTTCATGAAAGTTGATGGTGGTGTAGATAACTGATCATCAAAATAGTTTTTTCATTTGGCTTGATGATAATGAATGAGCAAGAAATATGGATTATACTCTCGTGATGGCAATGTTTACTTCCGCATGAGATGAAATTTTAATAATCTTTTATTTTTCATGCTCTTTATTAATTATGTATTTCATTTTAGTTCATCTTGTCCTTCTAAAATAAAAAGTTCGACTCTATCACTACGACCCCTCCTTTATTAAATCTTTCAATCCTTTTATCTCTTGCCGTAATCATCTCCATAGGATCTTTTTATTGATTAAGGCATCAGAGTCCCTTTGAAATTGAGAGGAACCACTCTGGTGTCCCCACTCTATATTTACCAATGATTTATTAAAGAAAGTTAATATTTTGCATATTGTTACTTTTTTTAGTAGTTTTTACTTTTATTAGTACTTTTATTATATTAGGCAAATTTTTAATTTTAATTTTAGGTAACTTATTCAATTATGTTATTATAATTTGTATTTATACAAAGTCAAATTACAGTACTCCTTACTAGTGAATTCTCTCTTCTTTTTTTTTTTTTTTTTTTTTTTTTTTGTCTGTGGACGTAGACACAATATCAAACCACGTTAAATTTTTATATTCTCCTCCCTATTTTTTATTTGCTTTTTCAATTTTTAATGCAAGTCATGAGATCATTCTTTGATTAAAAAGATTGTAACATTAGTTAGCATACGCGAGTTAGTGACCTTAGCATAAGGTAATACTATGAGCTTGTTTGGTAAGAGAAAAAAACGGGTAAGAGGAGAGTTTGAGGACTAGTAGAAGGTTTTGGCTTTTTAGGACACATGATTGTTTGGTAGGGTGAAAATGATGAGTAAATTTTAATTAGCGAGAGATTACAAATTCTTCCAAAAAAAAAAAAAAAACCCCCCTCAATTTAATATCTCTCAATGTGAGGATTTTTTTTTTAAGAGTAAGAAATTCATTATAACACAATAAGAATAGATCCTTCTATTCATCTGACTTTTTGTCACCTAAATTATATATCCCTTCTATTTTATTTTCTTTCCAACAAAAATAGCTTAAATACCATTTTCAGGTAACTAATAATGTTCTCATTCACCAAAAAGAGAAAGCAAGTATTCTCTTTTATAAAATTCTACATTAGAATATGAAAAAACACATACCAATAGGGTTGTGTTTTAAACGGTCAAATTTACATAAGATTCTGTTAGTTAATTTTTTATGTTTTTTTCTTGAGAGAATTCTTTGGTAGGTGTTGAAAAATTTAACTACTGAAAAGGTGATTTACATCATAAACTATTTGTTATGAATTTTTTTTTAATTTGACATGATTTTAATCAAATCTAACAGTCAGAAACTGATTCTGTAGTGTAAAAATACTATCAGAAAAGACACTTTTATTTTGATATAATCTTCATCATATCTAACATTTTGAAAAACCACTGCCAGTAGGTTCTTTACCGTAGAAAGACCACTCAATTCATTTTTTTTATTGCTAGTGACCACTTGATTCAATTAATACCTCTAACAGTAATAAAATAGAGATTTCTATAGTAGGTCATGTTGTTTTACCCTACCGTTATAATAAGTTTTTCTAGTCATCGAACAAAATTTTAATGATTAGATCTACGAGTGTCACACTCACAAATCCAATTGTTAGAATTTTATTTGGCGGCTAAAGAAATTTGCTCTACCAGTTGGGCCAAAAAAAAAAAAGGTGTCTTACTATAAAAATTCTCCAATTATTGATACCTATTAAAAAAAAAAGATTCTTATATTAGGGCTTTAAAAAAGAACTATTAACAAGTCTATGTTTTTTAACTGTTAGAACTTTTGTTATTTATAGAGTTGTAAATTTAAACTGACGCGTCATTGTTAGTTTGAATCGGCCTAAATTTTTAGACTGGGCTAGACCGACATGTCAAGTTTAGAAACTTATTTGGGCCGACTCGGTTAGACTCGAACACTCTTTTTTATTTTTATTTTTTAAATACTTTATAAAATATGAGAACGGCTCTAGACCCATCGAGTTTAGGACTGGGTTGAACCATAAATTTCATTCGGCTTTGCCGGATCATCTAAACTTCCACTTCTAGTTATATATACTTTTTATTTTATAATATGATTATAACCGAATTAAAGAGAGATATATATATAAACCCGTTTAATTTACTGATTTGAGTTGAAATGTGATTTTATATGAGAATTTTTTATTATAGTAAAAAAGTTAAATATAACTATTTCTGAGAGTTTTTTACTGTAATAAAACTTAAATTTTAAACTTAAATTAATAAAATAAATGAGTCATATATATATATATATATATGTATATATATATACACACACACTACCCGCATCAGATCCTACGATAAAGAAAGAAAAGGAAAATATTGCTGACAGGGAAAACATTAGTTTGCTTTGCTCGGTCACAAGTGGAAGAGAGAATGGCATCTCATGTGGGACAGACAGGACTTGAACGTGCAGCTGATAAAATACAAATAGAAAAAATCATCCACAAAACTCTCCTTTAATAGATTGAACTGTGAGAGAGAGAATCTTTTTAACTGCTCAAATAAATACAAGTCTACTTTACAGTCTTCTCTTCAGATCCTTCTTTTCAGCCTCCAAAATATCAACTAAACGCCTGGCTCATATCACACGCCCAGATTAATTCTTCAGTAAGATCTCTTGTTTCTTTTCTTTCTCTTGAGATTACGTTTTTTTTTTTTTTTTTTGTAATTTCTATTTCGCTTCTATTTTCTTTGATTCGTTTAGTTATTGCCTTAGATCATAGTGTCGGTGATAATTGGAATTTGAGTTTTGGACAATTGCTTGAAATTCGAGTGAAGATTTGTTTTTTTTCTCAAAAGTTGTGATTTGGGTTTTTGCTTTAATCGTATTATTTGTGTCTATTTGAGACGATTGATTTGTTTCCGTCAAGGGTTTTCCTCTTTAGCCACTAATTGGGTGCTTCATTCATTAAACTGAATTTGGAATTTTGGTTAATGAGCGTGTAAAAAGGGCATTTTGTTTACAACAGTTTCTACCGATTTAAATACTTTACTCCCCTCAAATAACCCATGAACGAGCTTAAAATCTTGAATTTACTTGCTAAGTTAAAACTGGCTCGTATGCTCAAAACTTCTATAACCCAAGAGTCAGTAATGGATTATTTTTATTTTTATTTTTTAGATGGGGGCACTATGGAAAAAATTAGACATGATTGTTTTTGTTAAATAAAGACATAGTTACATATTCCAGGGCTATAACTTGAGAAATTTTACGTGTAAAAATCAAAGTTCTAAAAGCTTTTAGTGTGGCTTTGCCGCTGTCCAAGAGTTCCAAACCAGAGCTTTTCAGTTCCTAAGGTCCACAAAGTTACTATATATAGGCAGTTCTCTATGAATTAAAGTTGTAAAACTAGATATCCTATTTCTCCAAGTTAGAATCTGACGAAATCGGAAATACTATAGTTCTTTATGTTAATTTGATTGAATGGTGTGCAAGCATGGCATTGGAGTGTGGATTTAAGTTGTCTAGAATCTCTCTCTGCTCAAAACTCTATAGAGCTTTTCCAGAGAGAGGCACTTTTATTTTATGTCTTACCTCAAAGATGAGCCCTTAACTTCTTCGAATAAGATTATTTGTCTTACCTGGTTGGTTCAAGGATTTTTATCTGCAAGATGAAAAAATATGAGAGCAAACATTGTAGAGATAGACGCTAATATCTCGTGCTCTTTGTTTTTCGGCAATGTATTTTCTTATTTGCCAACTCTTTTCTCTAGAAACAAGAAACTCGTTAGCAATGAGCTTGACTTATGTTAAATACATGTATGGATGTTCATGTCTTCTGGATTTAGTAGTTAGTATTTTATTCATGATTAATTTAAGCAATGTATCACTTAATGTTAGAGGTCAAAGAAGCGAAGCGAGTGCTTTGTTCTTTGGTTTTATTCTACCTAGATAAATAAGTTGTAGAAGACAAGGACACCTCTATGTCTTGCCCCTGTTGCTATTTTACCTTATGAAAGTCTATGTTTAGAAATGAAGAGTTTAAGTCCCTGCTTTTGGATCTATTAGATTAAAGGTGTTCTTCAGGTGATTGTGGATGGACCAACATTCCTGTTTAGCACGAACTTGCATGAACTTATTTTGCTCGGGCGCATAAGTCTTGTTGAAGTGTTCACCTTTCGTGTCTAAATGGATGTTATTGGAATTGTGCTTGAAAAACTTGTACAAAGAAAGAATAGGGGCGATAAATGTAAAAAATAAAAAATGTAATATCAAGGCTAAAAATAAAAGTAGTTTTTTCCTTATGACAAAAAGAGAATAATAGTAATACTTGAATCTATACCAAATTGAACCCTGCTGTTTCATTCGTCATTGCAAGTATTAAAGATGAACTCTTGCTGAAGTACAAATTTATATGCGGGGTTCTTAAAACTTAAAGCCTATTTTAACCTTATAATCTGTTATTCTAAATGTACAATATGTTGATAGCAACTGTTAAGATTTCTTTCTCTTTGTTGCTTATTCTCTTTCTTGGTTGTTAGTTTGTGAACGTACTTCTTTAAGGATAACACTCGACCACGTTTTCTGTTATACAAGCTATGAGAATCAATTTAAGAAAATGCTAATTTGTTTTCCTTTTTTTTTTTCTTTTGTCAGGAAAGCACTCTGCAGAGGTTGGAAACTTGAGGTCCAAATATGAGTTTAGCATGTCTTGCATGCCATAGCGTAGAAAGTCCATCACACTCCTTTAGGAGTTACTCAGTTTCGAGTTCAGACAATGACGGTAGATGTTCTGCTATTTCCAGCTGCTTAGCCAGGAGGTTACCTCTTCCTCCTACATCAAGTTCCCTATCAAAATCTAAAGTAACTCCACACCCATCGATTCCAAGCAGTAGCGTAACGTCGGGAACGCCCCGATTAGTCAGGAGCTGTGCCGTGAGAAGGGACCTCGTAAGAGACTGGAACTTCGATGAGGTTGTGATTGGACGTTAGGTTCGTTATTCAACTTTTAGTCGTGGCGAGTACTTAGGCTCTTTTCTTCATTTAGTGTTGGAATCTAGTCTTGCAATCTAATTTTGTTTTGTATTGATTGCAACTGAACTTGCCTTTCTTGTAGAAGATTCTGCGTTTGTAACCAAATGAATATGAGCATTGAAATGTTCTGTTTATGATGCCCTCTTGGAGTTGTCTTTTGTTCATTGCTAGGTTGAGCTTTCCACTGGTTCTACGATGAGTTGCTTTCTTTGTGGTGAAGTTTCTTTCACTTCTGCTGTTAAGTTGTGAAGCTTAATTATTGTCATGAGCACGGACAACATGCGGATCACACCTGTAAATTTGGTCGCCCTTGTTTTTTTCTTTAAATAGAGGGGCAGTTGTTTTTAGAGTTAATTGAGAGATTAGAGAAAGCACAGTGAATCTGAGAGGGGCGACTTTTCAAGTTATCTTCTTCTTACAATTTTATTGTTCTTGGTAGTATAAAATTAGGACTTATAATTCTTAGACAAAAATATTTTGGGGTTCCAAATGTAGCCATTTGTTCAAGAGATATAGTGGGCCCATAGGAGTGGTTACTTTTCGGGCCATTTTTAAAAATATCACTTGAAATGGAACTTTTTTTATTTTTATCCCTTAATATTAGTTAATATATTTTTACTTTTTAAATTAGAACTAGTCAATAGGTAAAATTTTTTAAAATAGATATTTTTAGTAAATTTAATATTTAATGAGGTATAATCTGTAATTTTCTCTCTCTTACGTTTGGTTGGAGGATTTAAACCATGTGATTTGAATTATTTTCGATTTACGTGAATTTTTTTGTGAGAGAAAATACTGTAGCGAACCATGAATCATGATTCGAATCAGGGAACGAATTTCTCTACTAAACATGAAATTAATAGAATCTTTGGGGCCCGTTTAGTTTATGGGTTCAAGTTAGTGATTTTAATTCTGAATTTAAAATTTGTGAGAGAATCCACTGGTCAGAATTTTTTTATTTGAATTTTTTTATGAGAGAAGACACTGTAGCAGAATCAGAAGTATAGTTTAAACGCGTGAAACAAACCGGCCTTATTTTAAGGGATGAAAGTGGAATATGCGTCCAAAAAGCATTGTTGTTGATTAGGCAAATGCATGCTTTTGATGCAGGCTATCTTCTCTTATGTTTTCAGTTAAAACTTACAAGCTATCGTCGACATGTTGCGTCTAGACACTTGAAGCCACCCATTCAATTGAGAGAGAGCTATCATTCGTCTTTCATCAAAAAGAGCTATCATTAATGAGCGGAGATTCAAGGTTCCTTGTTCTCTTTTTATTTTTATTTTTTTGAAAATTACTGCTTTTATTCTTAAAGTGTATGAGTTTAATTTTTACTTATTATTTTTTATTAATATAGTTATTTGATTAAAAAAATTTTAATGAAGAGTAAAGAGTATCCTTTAAAATAAAAATAAAAAATAAAAATTTAAACTCATATATTCTAATATTCGTCTCCTTTGTTTGTGTACATTCTTTAGCGGTTGGCCTTCTCATGTAATTTTTCGACTGGAAGAGTCATGTACGCGACATATCACTCATAAAAGGTAAAAGGCCAAAATAAAAAATCAAAATGATACTTAGGACGCAAGGTGCCGAAAAACGATGTGAAATATGAGAAAATGAGAGTATCAAAATGTTGTGAGGTGTGTTTCAGCCTAGCAAAATGTGTTCAAGCAATTGTATGTTTTCCCTTATCAGCAACCACCTTAGGGATTTAAATTCTTTAAAAAAAAAAAAAAAAAAAAAAAAAGGGGTAACCACTTTCTTATTTTTAAACGGGAAAATGAAGTAAACATTTACAATAAATAACTGAAGTAGATAATAGATTTTAAAATTATTTGAAGTAAATAACAATAAATAAAAATTTATGTAGTATATTATTTTACTACGTAAATCTAGTTAAAAGAAAATTTAAGCGGTAAAAAATTCTTTTACTATGTAAATTCAGTGGTAAAATTTTTTATTGCTATTTACTTTAAATATTTTAAAATCTGTTATTTACTTAATTTAATTTTAAAAATTTATTATTTATTACAATTTATGTTACTAAGCATTCTCTTCTTTTGATTCAACTAGCGTCGGCCCTAGAGCCCTAGAGAGAAAAGAAAGAAAAAGAAAAAATTGTTGAACTTTCTTTTAGAGTGTATGAGTCTAGATTTTTATCCTTCATTTTTTATTTATACCATTTTAATTAGTATAATTACTTGACAAGAAAATATATTAATCAAGAACGAAGGGTTAAAGTCCGGACTCATATACTTTAAGGGGACGTTTAATATGGGGTAATCACAGGGGTGGGAATGAGAATATTTCAGATTCTCATATTTGGTACAATTATTAGACTTTTTTTAAACCTAAGAAAGTGATGTCCATGAGTTTCACATTATCATATTTTAGGAGACGTTTAGTATAAGGTAATCACAGAAATAAAAATGAGAATCTTTTAGATTCTCATATTTAGTATAATTATTAGACTTTTTTTAAACCTAAAAAAAATGAAGCTATAAGTTTCACATTATTATATTTTGAGATAATTATAAACCTACTCAGGTGTTATTTACTTTCTCAAGAAAGTAATATTTACGGGAAACAATTTACCCTACCATTTCTCTCACCCACCCATCTCACCCATCTCTCTCTCTCGTCCAGACCCAACCTCTCTCTCGTCCAGACCCAGCATCGCTTCCGTCGATGACGCCGCCGCCGCCTTCCGATCCACCACGCCGTTGCCGGACCTTCCTCTGCCGCCATCACCAGAGTATGATTCCTTTTTTTCTCCTTTTTCTGTGAAAAATTTTTGATCTGAACTTTCCGATTTGTGTTAATTTTTTATCTGAACTTGAAAATCTCACTGGGTTTGAACCACAACGTCGTCGGCGCATCTGGGTTTGAACCTTATGTTTGCGATTCCTCTGTTTCGTTATTATTCATTTATTCTCCAAAACCCACAATACTCACTCCACTCCTCGTATTCTCCTAATCCAAGGCATCTCCAAGCTGCTTCTTCCGCACAAACCTTTGAAATTCTCACCCTAAACAAGGTCTCTCTCTCTCTCTCTCACCCAAAATCAAATCAAAATCAAGATCTGATTAGCTCTCATCAGAAGCTAATAATCCTGTGACTTCTGAATTTAGTATTTCTTTTGTTATTTATGTTAGCTTTCGCAGATCTGTTTTAGCTTCTTTTCCTATATTTCATTAATTTGATATTCATTGTTTCCGAAATCGAAGCTTTACTTTTTCTGGATCGTCAAACATTTATGGGTTTTTGTTTTTTTTTTCCATATTTTGTTTTTTTTTTTTATAGAAGATCGTATTTGGTGCTGATTATTTTGGGTTAAAATTTCAAACTTTTTGTTATTTTCGTTGATAGGAATTAATCGGGGGAATGAGTGATAACAATTCTCCTCCTGGGTGTGTTAAAGAAAACCCAGATCATGATTCTGATCGAAAACCGGTTTAAAAACATGAGAAGTATGATTATGTAGAAGTATGCTTATGGTTATGGTTCAACAGAACATGAGAAGTATGCTTATGGTTCAAAGCTATTGAAATATGAGAAGTATGAAATAAGGGTATTTGTCTCTTTTCTCCTAAGAAAAGATAGAACGCTGAAGGGAATGAGATGACCCAAGTTTCTAGACCGCCTTTTCACGCGTTGCCGAGCTTCTGGCCTTGAAATTTGGTATCCAAGTTCATTAAACAATTGGAGTTTTCGTGGCGGGGATGGTGTGGGGAGTAGAGCTTCTGTTGGGGCGGATCAAATGTGAGACAAAAATTATGAACAATTGGTTTGTAGAGTTGTTATTGACATTCCTAATGTCCGATGCCAAAATTCTTTTGAGGGTTCGATCTTGGCGGTAGTGATGGTGGCCTTCCGACAAATATTTTTTCCCTCAATTTTGGATATACCGTTTTGACTATCGTCTGTTTGTAAAGGACAATACATATTATTTTATCTATAATAGGAGATTGTATATGTAGATTGAGGCCCGTTCACTTCATCGATTTGAGTTTAAAATTTAAGTTTTGTTATAGTAAAAAGCTTTCAGAAACAGTCACATCTAACTTTTTTGTTACAGTAAAAGTTCTCACATAAAATCACATCTCAACTCGAATTACAAACTCGAATCAGCGAAGTGAACGGACCCTGATATTTTTAATATCTTTTCATACTTTAAAGTATATTTTTTTTAAAAAGAGAAAATATTTCTACAGTAATGTTTTACACAAATGAACTACTGACATGTTTTTGTTTTATGCCCTCTTAAATATATATATTTTTTATTTTGATGTGAATCGAATGAAAAAATAATTTTAAAAATAAAAGAGAAAAAGAAAAATGATAATTATTTTAATGGGATAAAACCCCATGCGTATAAAATAATGGGTATGTTGAGTCTCATTACTCATTTAGCGAGCTCAATTTGGTCTCATTTATTTTATTAATTTAAAATTTAAAATTTGAGTTTTAAATTTTAATTTTGTTACAGTTAAAAAATTTTATAAAAAATTACATAATTTTTTTTGCTACACATAAAAATTTTATATAAAATTACATCTAAATTTAAATTAAAAATTTAAATTTGTGAATTAAATGAGCCATTTTGTCTTTGTGACGGCTTTTAACTCTATGCCAATGAATAGAGGTGCTCGTGAAAAAGCAGACAAACAAACAGATCTTTGATGGCAGAAAATGCAAATGGCAATGGCACAATCACAATCCTCAATCACAACGCAAAATGCAAATGAAGCAGGTGTGGGTGTCCTCAACCGTGCTCTCCCACTAGTCTACTTCCACCATATTCATTATTCAGCAATCATAATTTTCAATTCCACCTCCCCACACTAGTAATCTAGTACTACACAAACTCAAATTTCATATCCAAATTCATATCCAAATTCATATTCAACTACTGACGCAACTCAACGGGTAAGGACCAAAAATCATTCTTCAACGCACACACAAATCGAGACGCGTTACATACAAGTTTCTCTTATTTCAGATCTGGGATTCTCTCCTTTGTTTGGTTTGTTTTTTTGTTTTCTTTTTTTTCCACGATCACCAAAAACCCATTTTGATGCGTACGAGATTTTATTTTCTCTGCCATTTAGAGGCTTCTTGGGGGTGGTGCGTACGATGATTGAATGAGGCTTCAAACTTGAAAATATTCGGAATTTGTGTTTGTTGGAATTGTTTCATTCTTTTGGCAGCTTAGGTTTAGGAAATGCCGCTAATCTGGGTGATCAAATTCGGGGTTTGCTAAGTATTTTGGTGGGTATTCACGATTGAATTTTGATTGGAGTTATGAAATTTCGAGTTTTGAGGGTGCTTTTTTGAATTGAATATGTATTTTATATAATAATATATATATATGTGTGTATGTATGTATGTATATATAATGATGAATAATTCCATTTACGTCTAGGGCGTAACATTCGGAAACGTTTTAGATGAAGAATCATTTTTTGGCACTCTGAAACGTCATACCCAATGTGGTTTTTATTTTCTCTTATTTATTTATTGTGTAGTTGATTAGTATTGATGAACATAATGCATGGTGTGCTATAGCTAATCATGATAATTACTTTAATTATATTATTTGTATTTAATGTAAATTTTGAAAACATTTCACAGAAAGCAGAAGAAACCGGAAGAGCTAAGTCTGGGGAAGAAGGTGCACAATAGAATGGTATGCTTTTGAAACTTATAGATGGACATCTACTGTTAGATCAAAAGCATTAGCAATTGACTGGCAAATTGACATTTGTTATACTTGGTACTGAAATTGCCACCAAGTATAGCATTTTCTAAATTTAGCATTAAAAAATAATAGCATTGGAGAGTGATTTTTTCACTTAAATGCGCATCAAGTTGGCGCTGCATTGGAGATGCTCTAGTTTGTTATTTGTTTTATATGTTATAAGTCACCTACTTTGAGACCTAGATATTGATGTTACACTTTTATATAGATCTAGTTTTTGTTCTAAATCTTTTGGCCTGTTGATGTTGATCAGTTTATGAAAAATAATGTGATTCAGTTAAGTTTGTCAACACCCACCATAAAAGAAGCAGTATAAGATCAACAAGAGAAGCAGCAAATTAAAAAGAGAAAAATTAGACACCAAAATGGCACTGAAGAACAACATCAATAGCAGCATATCAACATCACTGCCATGCTCTGTTCCCATTCTCTTCCTCACTTTCACTTCCATCTGCACTGTCTCTCTCTCGCTTTTCTTCTTCCTCTTCACTTCACCTTCCTCTAGATCTTCTTCATCTCTGATTTCCCAAAATGCCCTTCCCTCTGACCCCATCAAAGTCTACGTCGCTGACCTCCCCAGATCCCTCAACTATGGCCTCCTTGAGAAATACTGGTCCTCAGGTTCCGATTCCAGGCTCGGAAGGGACACCGACAATGAGATTCAATCAAAGAAGATCCATTCGCAAGAGAGGAATCTCAAGTTCCCTCCTTATCCTGAGAATCCACTGATCAAGCAGTACAGCGCAGAGTACTGGATCCTGGGAGACCTGATGACGCCATCCGAGCAGAGAACATCATCGTTTGCGAAGAGGGTCTATGACGTCAGAGAATCTGACATTGTTTTCGTGCCGTTCTTCGCGACGCTGAGTGCTGAAATGCAGCTGGGTAAGGGTAAAGGATTGTTTAGGAAGAAGGTCGGGAATGAGGATTATGAAAGGCAGAGGGAAGTTGTGGATTTTGTGAAGAACAGTGAGGCTTGGAAGCGCTCTGGTGGTAGAGATCATGTGTTTGTTCTAACTGGTATGTTTTTCTGTGTTCTTTTTTTTTTTTGCCCTTTTAATAACTGGGTATGTTTGATGATTTGTGTTCTTTGCTTGTTTATGGATTTTGAACAGTTTGTGTTTGTGCGTGTGTTTTTCCCTTGTGGTATATGCTTTATTGATTTGAACCTTGAGAGTTTATTTTTTCTATTCTTTGGGTTAGTTTAGAAGAAAGGAAAGGCTCAACTAGCTATTTGTGATTTGTGTTGATTAGCTGATACTTCTTATGCAACCTTTTAGTGAGGATCTCAGTTTGTCAACCTAGAAGAGGGGCTAGCAAGTTTGAATGGGTCCTTAAATTGGTTTTATCTTTTAGGAACAGGACCATTTATTTGTGTATAAAACAGTGGCGTGTTTTATACAGGGAAAAGGTTCATTTTACTTCCTTGTAATCATGTGTAGACTGTAGAGATTTATAAGGAGAACTGGAACAGCTATATCGTAGTTCATAGACAGGACTTTGGTAACTATAATCTCCGTTTTTGTTTGCTTAGGAGTTTAGCATATTAGAACCTTTCCATTTATGTGTAACAAAATATAGCTATTTGTATATGGAGAGGCTCTTCTCTGTAATTTAAATTCTTGTAGGACGTTCATCCAAACTGAAATTATTATATTCGCCTAACCAAAACTTAGCTGCATGTTTTCTTGTGGTAGTAATGCTATGAACTTATCATGTAACAAGTCATTATCCTATATATCACCAGAATGGCTGTAAAGAAATAAAAGAGAGCACTGTTATGATTTAGTCTCTGGATTGTCAGGTTATGTTAAAACTTGAAGCATTGTTTGGCAGACCCGGTTGCAATGTGGCATGTTAGAGAAGAGATAGCCCCAGCTATCCTCTTGGTGGTTGACTTTGGTGGGTGGTACAGGCTCGACTCGAAATCATCGGGCGGTGGGAACTCATCGGATATGATTCAGCATACCCAAGTGTCGCTACTCAAAGATGTGATCGTTCCATACACCCATCTACTCCCTAGATTGCACTTGGCAGAAAACAAGAAACGTCAAACCCTTCTTTATTTTAAAGGGGCTAAACACAGGCACCGGGTCAGTAACCACTATCTGATATCACTAGCCAAGTGTTATTAAAACTCAGTTTCTAGTGAATTCTGGATTTCATTGTTGAATTTCTCATTAGCAGGGTGGCCTGGTTCGAGAAAAATTGTGGGACTTGTTGGTTGATGAACCAGGCGTAATTATGGAAGAAGGCTTTCCTAATGCTACAGGGAGAGAGCAGTCGATCAAAGGGATGAGATCATCTGAGTTCTGCTTGCACCCTGCTGGGGACACTCCCACATCATGCCGATTTTTTGATGCCGTTCAAAGTCTCTGCATACCAGTTATTGTTAGCGATAACATCGAGCTCCCATTTGAAGGGATGTTGGATTATTCCGAGTTCTCAGTTTTTGTGGCTGTTAGTGATGCATTGAAACCTAACTGGCTAGTGAGTCACCTCAGGAGCTTCTCAAAAGAACAGAGGGATGGATATCGACGGAAAATGGCCGAAGTGCAGCCTATTTTTCAGTATGATAATGGTTATCCGGGCGGCATCGGGCCAATTCCTCGTGGTGGTGCAGTCAATCATATATGGAAAAAGGTCCATCAAAAACTACCCGTGATAAAGGAAGCCATCGTTCGCGAGAAGAGAAAACCACCGGGTGTATCAGTTCCACTTCGCTGCCATTGTACTTGACTTCACTTTTTTTTTCTTTTTTTCTTTTTATATTTGTACTTCTATAATTAATGTATCTTTCTTTTTTTTTTTCTACCCCTTTATGATAGTTGTGAATTGCAATGGTCTAAAAGATAAAATGATCGATTTGCATGACCCATTGGCAAAATTAACCTCCTTGGAAACTTCTTTCCCTTTGTCTGATGTTCTGTTCCTCCTTATTCAAGTTTACTCGTTTTGTTTCTTGTAATGTTACAAAATGAAATTAGCTTCTTTGATTCTTTCGCTATAAGAACGATAAGAACCCGATTTCATAAATCATTCATAAAGTACATTTAAATCAAATATGACGCATCATTCAGAGTTGAATGCACTTTCTGGTCTCTTTGGAGACAAAAGAGTCCTCAAAAATCTACAGCATAAATCAACCTTCTACAGCAAGAAAGGATAGCGAATAGAAGAAAACACCACAAACAAAACTCTTGTCAGAAATTCAAACACAATGGACAGGATGTTGGTAACTTGCTTGGGCAGAATACTCTAAACATGTTTTGATTGGAAAAAATGTGATTTAAATGTTAACCGTTATCTCGGAAGACATAATTCGTGCAAAAACACTTAGGGCACCACCCCTAATAAATGTTTCGGAGACCAAGTTGCGGGACTCACTTTTATTAAAAAGTGGTGCTCAGCACCACTAGTGGTGCCCCTATAGTATTCTTCTGCATTGTTTTAGTTCATGAGACGATAAAACCACCAAGTCTAATTCCACTTCTGACATGCTCATGTTCGCGTTCATGCACATTCATATTTGTGTTTCTAGCGATTTAATATCTCTTAGGTTATATTGTTATAATAATGTTTTTTTTTTCCTTTTCCTTTATGATTATTTATTCTCTCTTTATTCGTTTAATAAATGCTTACAGCTCAGATATTCTGAACTAGAAAGCTTAACGGATAAACAATCCCTATTCTTGGCTTAACCTGTTGGCAATCAGTATCTTAGCTAAATTGCTTTTCCTTTTTTCTTCAATTAATCAGAAGAATACTGATGAAGTGGTGATGATTTCAACCTTGTGAATATATGTTACCTTTGAGGATTTCTTCCATCTTGCCTTAAAAGAGCTTTTGCAATTTCAAGTAAGCTTGCCTTGTAAATTCTCAACTTGTACAAATCAAATCCAATTCTAATATTCACGTTCTTGTCTCTGGATAAAGAGAGAACCAAAAAACATGGGGGAAAAAGGAGGAGAAACAGAAATAAAATGTATGTCAACATTTAGAGTATAGAGCTATATTTTGCAGCAAAAAAGGATAGCCAATCCCCCTTCTCTTAGAAGGAAACACCACAAACAAGACACTTATTATAAATCCAACCACAAGAGGAAGAGTGTTGGTGACTTTTCTAGGCAATGCAGGATAGTAACACCCAACAACGTCATGGTGACACCCTGCAAATGCAAGAAATGCAGTAACAGAAAGCAATGCGTGGAATAAATCGGCCCATCTCAGCCTATAATGGGACGGCACAGAAGGCTTCTTCCTCGCAGCGTGGAATGTCCATATCCCCGTGAAAGTCGCCACCCCATAGTACATTCTCCCCGAGGCTGTCTTGAAGCTATCGGTGAAGGTAAAGAAGACACATGAGGCTGCGCAAAGGGCAACAAAGAACCCCATCAGCCAACGGTTCAAACTTGTGCATGAGCCGTCGTTGGTGAGCAGAGGAGCAAAAATGGTGAAGGCAAGGATGGTGGCCGTAGGCAAGAGAATGTTAAGGCGGGCAGTGCCGCTGAGGATTGTGTTGGTCATGTATATGAACCGGGATTCATCGGCGTCGCCGTCCCCTTCATCATTGCTATCGTAACTTTCAATCAGGTCTTGGCAGACAGAGCTGTCCATACTTGGATTCAAATAGGCAGTTTCTGAGCTAGCCATGAGAAAGGCAGTACTTAAGGTGGCTTATATAAGGAAATATAGGAGTGGGGAACGAAACGATTCTTTATTGAAGTGAGGGGGACAAGTAATTCTATGTTGGCAAAGAGTTGTATAATAGAATACTTTTCCTTGTTTATTCTAATATGTTAGAACTTTCCTTCACGAAAATGTTAAAAGGTTTTTCTTCATCATGAATCCATAATATGCTTTCTGAGTTGTCCAAGGAGAAGAAATAGATCATCCTCGATCGGTACTTGGGGAAAGTGAGTTACGGTTTCTACAGTTGGGCATGGAAGTTAAAGAATGTGCAATGGAAGTAAAATTCTTCAGTATGGTATATTACAATATCTGCTAGAGCAGCAGTGCTAGTTAAGATGATCAAAAAAAAAAAAAAAAAAAAAAAAAAAAAAAAAAAAAAAAAAAAAGAGTTGTTCACATTTTCAATACCTTCGCATTATCACAACTTTTCCTAATCCACATCACGCATGTGATTTTAGGTGTTGGAAACCGCCATTCTGTTTTCTGTTTTGTTGTAGATGTTGTTATTCTATTGAAGGACATGTTTCGCTCTATCAGTGGAGCAAGTATTTCTAATCTTTTCATGTTAAATCTACACGTTAAAAATATTGATGGGTTAAAAATTACGATAGACAAAATAACTTTTGAGGTGCGAGATTGAGAAAGAAACAAAATTGATATGAGCGCACTTATTTCCTACGTCTTAGCATATTTCTATGAAAAAGACTGGCAAAATGCATATGTAGAAGAGTTTAAAGAAAAAAGTGAAAAAATACGTGATAGAGCATATGTCCACTTCTGTAATAATGGTACAAACATCCATATAATTTACAAAAAAAGAATATTATCTGCTCTAAAACTTTTACCAACTTTCCCATTTGATATTGAATAATCAGAGGGCTTTTACTGAGTAACTCTATACTTTCCCGACAAGGCTTTACAAAAAGGAACTCGTACTTGGCTGCACATTTTGTACCAATAGAAATGAAAAACTATGCCCGTAAAATGGCTAAAAATTACAGATTACAGGGTGAGATAGCTTAACTCAACTCGGACGATACGACTATTTAAAGTATTAACGAACTGACTGTGAACTTACAGCATTATTGATTCTAATAGAGGTAAAAAGATCTGCCAGATTAAGGACGGAACTCGGAAAGAAAAACCACTAAACCCCACCTTTTTCATGGAGAAGAATTGTCAGTCTCTAACACCACAGAGATCACAGTGGTCAGAGGACTTCTCCGGGCACCAGTTATCTGGGACACTCAAGAAGTGTGTAGCCATGAACTTTCTGAATCTCCTCTTGTACTCGATCGGGGAGATGACAGTCGGCAACAAGTTCTTTGGAACAAGTGAAGATTTCACCCATGTCTCTAGTTGCTTGTCCCATGTGTACTGCCTAAGATAATCGATGATCCCGCATACGAGCTCTCTCCGCTGAGTATCCACTACGACAAGCAGTGAATAGTCCATAACATTGATCGACTGCAGATGCAAAACATAAACATGTAAGGAACTAAGGATTTTTCTTCCTTTTTTTTTTTTTACCAGTGTACAAGTGTCTTAATAAAGCACCATAACTTTTGTTGATCAATGAATTCCGAGGCCACTAAGTCAGAGATGCGCAAATCTCATAATGAACGTTCAGAAACAAAACACATTTTAGGGACAAAATAAAACAATGCATCTCAATATCAGTCTCGGCCATTAACAGAACTAGTTGTAGTAGACTCACATTGAGGAAAGTAGTGTCATTCCAGACAGCCCGTTCCAAAAGACGCTTGGCTCTGTTACTAACATATAATGGAGATGAATTCATGTCATTGACAAAATTCTGATCCAAAAGAACATTGCCTGGATCATTCGCAGTCGTATTGTAGCGAGCATGTAGAGCACCTTTAAGATCATACTGGCGAGTAATATTCCGACCAAAGGTGAGATTCTCCATTACCATCAGATCATGTCTCGTCTCTTTTCCAGTTTTAGCCTGTCTTACAACAACCTGTGGAAAGAAACAAAAACACCAATAATAGCAATTAGAGAACAATGAACAAACGAGTAAGAGTAACATCATTTAAGATGAGAACTTCAAAGTACAAACCTGATAGATCCCAAGAACTTTGGCGAGGCAAGTTTGGTTCCCCACTTCAAATGACTCCTTCATGTACTTGAAGTAATCATCAGCAAACTTCATAAATGATTCAAATTCTGTCCTCTTGATTTCTTTTATAATCAACCTCTCGTCAAGAGTTTTTGCGAAAAATGATTTGCTCTTTCCACCTTTAGCGTCCCAGTTCCTACAGCGGCTAAGGGAAGCAATATAATCAAGCTCAGATGGACAACACCAGTTCCGAAGGTCACGAAACTGATTGGCATAGGGACATATAACCGTATATCTATGCTTTCCAAGTGACTTATCAAATCCAAAAGAGACTATTGGATTGACAGTTCCAGGCGGAACAAGAGACTCCAGCAAATTCACCCCATCAAAACTCGAGAAGCGCGATTCGTCAAAAGAAATGCTTGCTGTTGAATTGACTGAGTCTGAATCAGAAGATCCATGTGAAGACCAATGTGAGGAAATAATGGTAGGAATCCGAGTCAGACTGTGAAAACTCTCGAGTGATTTTGAAGCATCATCACCCTCTTTCATCAATGCCAGCGCACAAGCAATTATACTTGACAGCTCACCATCATAATTTGAGATGACATAATTCTCTGCTCCAAGGGGAATGTGCAGCCTTTGTCCTTCCTCGGTGATCAGCTGATATGCTGTGGGTAAGTTCTCCAGAGCATAGCGACTAAGAGATTCAAATTTTTGAAAGTATAATCTCTGAAGATCCCTCATGTCTATACATCTTATGTCTGCAAATGGTGACCAAAACCAACCATTTGAATTTTCCGAGTTACACAAAAGTGAATTCTCAGATTTGTTGTCTGACCAGCTATAATCAGAAGGATAATGGCTAGAACCATTGGACAGCAGATGGGAATCATAGTTGGATGATCCTTTTGGGCTTAAATCACCCTCAATCAGTATGTCAATGCCTTCAGCAGCGGTAGATGCACTAGATATGTCATCCCCTTTAGATTCTTCAGCTTTATCTTCAACTAGAATTTCTTCGACTGGAAATTCATCTACATCTGCAGAGGTAGCGAGATTAACATTTACATTGGCTCCACCATTAATACCGAGATCACTTCTTTCTAAACTCACTTCAGGCCCCACATTCCTTTCTCTTGCAATGCCATCCATCTCTACATGTTTTTGTTCTTTGACTGCTTTTTTGACGGTACCAGAATCAAGCATCCTAGCATCCGGTAAGAGTAATGAATGCATGCGCTGATCCCAAATGCACGATTCAAGCAGGAGTTCCCATAGTAATCGATTCAAGCCAAGAAGTTTGTAAACACCCTGGTCTGAGTTCCCATTTTTGGAAACAGCTTTCTTAACGTTTACCTGTTTTTTACACCACATGAAGAACAAGTTTTATAGAATCAGGAAAAAGGCAATCCTGATATCAGGAAATACAAAACCATAAAGAAAATAAAATAAGTCATAACAGGAATATAAAGCTAAAGAAATAAAGAAGTTGATATTGGAACTGAGCAAACTACATTGAAGAAGTAGGAGCAAGCAAAAGAGACAACCAGAGTCTGAGATCAACCAATATAACACAATAAACTTACAATATAAGGTTATCCTCAATCGTGTAGTTTTTGTTATATTCAAGTACTAACCTCAAAATCTGATATTTCCTGCTTTAACATATCCTCAATATCAGAAAATTCTTTTATAGAGCCTCGAAGGTTCAAAGTCAACCCTTCAAATTGACATTTGATTTTCTTCAAACAGCTCTCAACCTCTGTAAATAGCAGAATCCCTTTCATGTACACCTTAAGAAAATCAAAACAAAGGATCATTTTAACAACGGAGAAAAACAAAAGGTCTATAAGATGGAGGAAGGCAAAGAGCAAAAATTTATTAAAAGCGTCATCAAGAACTAAAGAATCTAGCATTGTCAGATAAGATGTTTACATTCTGAGTTTCTTTCATAAGAAAGTCTTGTTTAATTGAGTTACTGAGCTGCAACTTCTGAGGAGGCAGAGACACAGTATAAGTGGCAACGGGAGAGTATCTAAACATTGCAACCCGGGGGCCTAACCTGTGGCATATCAACATGACCTAATTAAGGACGCTAAAATGGAAATAAATTATCTGGCATTAGTAGTAAATCTAAGATGGAAATGCGCAATACTAATCTGAAATGAAGTCCATAGGTATCCAAAATTAAACTAAAATCATAAAATAGACTGTTTTGTACAGAAGAAGGGAGAGAACCCACCCCTTGAACATACATAGATACTTAAACGCATTAGTAATGTTAAATATAGACATATGTCACAGAAGATCCATACCCGAAGAAGTAAAGGAAGTCCCGATGCAAAGAATGGCCACAGCTAGATAATTTACGAGATGAGGAGTGATGTGAGAAACCAAGCTCCAGGAATTTTCCAAATGACAGACCACGGGCAGGATTGGAGACCAACACTCTTTTAGTAGATTTTCTTATCCCATTTCCATCTTTACACTTACCACATCGACCCCACATCCAAATTTTTCCTTCTGCTTCCCCATGTAAACTTTTTTCAGGACGAAGCCGTTTAACCTTTATGGTCAACTGCTTCTTATGATGTGCATAGTAGTATAAGTGAGCTTCTGGCAGTTCACCACAAATACTGCACAGAGTTTTCTGCATTATGGTAGTTTATATCAGCGCCCTAGTATCTTAAAACATCTACCGTGGTAGAATAAAAAAGAAATTCATAAGCGTTAGAGAATTGGTAGCACTTAAGTTGGTAGCCGAAAGAATAACGGGAAAAGAAACTCTTTTCTAGTAAAGACAGTGAAACAATACTCTAGTTTCTAATGAATGAGCCTAGACTTCAAACTATTCTGGAATATATAACGCTAGCAGCTAAAAAATAACACAAGGACAAAATACTTGATGATTATTATGGTGGTTACAGACCTGATTGAGTAAATTGTCCCGCAGGAATTTACCAAGTGGAACATCAAAGTTCTTGTAGAACATGATATGAGAAAAATGGCTTTGCTCACATACAGTCCCTCTTAAGGCATTCCGCCTAGACATCAGAACTAAAATACTCTGAGAATCCAACACTGCATTGATACCATTCTTACTTTTCCCTTCTTCATTATCACTATCTTTTTTCGCCTCTTCAGCGGCGGCTTCAGAGGATTCATTTGAAGACTCTGATTCTTCAACATTCAGCAATTTTTCTTCGTCACTACTACTCTTATCTTCAGCAACATTATAGTCTAATGCCTTTGGAGATGTTGAAGCGGAAATAACATTTGCAATCTGACCATTAGACTCTCTTCCATTGAATCCAAAGTACGAGGAAAGGGACTGATAAGAAGAAGAGGCAATAGGGAAATTTTCCCCAATAACCTTCTTTAGAGAAGCTGAAAGAGACGAAAAGCCAGATAGTATTGCAGGATTATATGGTTCATACAAAAGGGAATTTCCTTCCAATTCCAGATCAGAATTATGGGAGTCCAACTCATGAAAGCCATTGGAAATGGGAATTTCAACTTTGGGTAACTCAGTTTCAGTTGCAGAATCGTGGAAATGAAAGCTATTAGAAATGGGAATATCAACTTTAGGCAACTCAGTTTCAGCAGTAGCCTCCCCAAGGCAAGGGGCATTTGAATGGTCAGAGCCTAAATTAGGGCATTGTTGATAATTCGACAATGCATTCACCAATTCACTCGACATGAGATTTGTTACTCCAGAAAGTGGTATTGTAGATAACATTGCTCTCTGATCAACAAGAAAAGAAGTCTCAAGAATCATATGATATGCCATAATGACTGCACACTGCACCACACACTTAACCCTCTTCAGTTCATCACTGGGCGCTCCTTTCAGCAAAATCTGTAATGCCATAGCATGCAGACTAATATTAAATCTCCTGAGATTTTAGGAAGACAACGACACAAATAAAGTTAAAAAACACTTTAACAATAAAAGGTGCAGGAGGTTTAAGTTTTAGAAAGTACCAAATTTGACATTCATTTATCAGACACATAAACTGACCATAAACAATCCATAAACAGATACTCGACGTTCTAAGAACATGACAGCAGGACTGGTAAAGGATATCCTAAAAAACAAAAACAAAACAAAACAAAAAAAACAAAAAAGAAGAAGGCCCAAGTTCTCTCCTTGATGAAAAAAATATTATTTGAGACTTATAAATAAAAACCTTGTATGTAAACTTATAAAAGGTTTTTCCTACACGAATACCTGTCTTCTTGAAATATTCTTAAAGCATGACCATTTTCATTTTCTTTTTGAGGATTACTCTTCGGCCTTGTTTGTTTCAACAATCCTAACCCAATAACAATTCAATTCGGATTGTTGTTCAAGGTTCAAATTGATGTTTGGTAGAGAGCTAACACACACCCACACCCACACCCCCCTTCAAATTCTAACAACTCGAAGTGTTTCCACAGTGAAAATAATTCGGATCTTACTTTTTTTTTTCTCTCCTCAACTTCAAACTTAAAAATGTCATAACTTTTTCGTTTCAAATCCGGTTGAGATGATTTTTTTTTTTTAAATGTGTTCATAATGAAGAGAGGAACACATTCCCATCCATATTGCATATTTTTTAATGTCATTTACAATGAGGTTTTATAATATTTGTTACAAAACTCTAATGACAGTTTTCAACACTTTATCCAAACACAGTTCAGATTTTATTCCCAATTCAAATTACATTTTATTTACGTATCCAAACACCGGTTCCAATCACAATTAAAATCACCACAATTCCAATCAAATCAACAATTTGAATCATTGAACCAAAAAAGGTGTTCTTCTTTCTGTGTCTCTTGATACTTTTTATTGATAGTCTTTACTTCTTACCAGAAAATTAAAAAAAAATGAATAAATAAAGTTGGAAAGACATAGCCTCAATAAGAATCAGCTTTGGAAATTATGCTACTATAGGAAAACGAATTACTAATCAATCAGCCAAAAGAGTTTCCTTTGAGCGTTGTTTGCCCTCAAAAAAGAATTAAGGGAATTATGAAAATCCATGCATATTCATCTATCTTACTACTCTCACAATGTTTGGTATGGAAGAAAAGTGGAAGGAAGGAAGTGGAGAGAATTTGAGAGAGAAAATAGAAAAGTGGGTTGTTTGGTAGGAGAGAAAAGAGAAACGACGAGAAAATAGAGTGGATAATAGTGAAAGTAGAGCCCGCCTTTATTCCTCCAAAAATGGAAAAGTTTTGGTAGAGAAAAGTTACAGCACATAAAATAAGATTTTTTTTTAATAGAAAAAATAAGATATACCTCAAAAAAATAATAATAAGACATAATTATTATAATTACTTATTTAACCTCATTCTCAAACTAAATATTACTAATAAATGGGTAAAATGGTAATTGTAAAATAACTCATTTTCTCTCCCTCGGGAAAAATATTTTCTTTTCCCTCATTCTCATTTGCTCTCTCTTATAATCTTTTGTCTCCTTCCTATTTTCTCTCCCTCCTACCAAACACAGTATAAGCATTAACATAAACAAAGCAGACCAAGAATGTGAAAAAAAAAAAAGGACTAACCGTGCAACCAAGCCGTGTAGGGCAACCCTCGATGAACATCAATGTTTTACTCAGCTTCTTTCCTCCCTCACCAGAACCCGCATGTTCCTCAACAAACTTTTCAATGTAAAAGGAGTCGCATTGTTTTAGCTTTTGACTTGTCAAAGTATCTGATGATAAAATTGGTGAACCGGTACAACGAGCAATTCTCTCTAGCCGATGGAGCTTCATGTCAAAGACCAGTGTCATCCCTTTTTTGAGAATAGACTCTTGGATATCACGACTAACACTCTTCTCCACTAAAACCACATTTGGATGGCACAAATCTAAGGTCGCAATAACAGACTTAAGATAATCTTTTTCCTGTTCGAAAGCAAACGATGAGAATAGGTAGTATAATTCCATCACAAGAAGGAAAAGATGTTAAGATCATGTCACCTGCTCCATTGAATCAAATGATGACAATCCACTGGAGGATTGACCAAGCACACCCCGCACTAACAACAACTTCGGATTCTTGTACTTGGTTGGCATGTGCTTGTGCGCGGCATGTTTCTTGAAGACTAAGCCTTTAACTAGTTGACTGCAACATCAAACACTAATTTACACTTTGAGAACGGAAATTTAAAAATAAGTAAACAAATAAATATCAAACATTGTTAATAAAGAATTCCATGAAGTAGCTTAATGCTGTAAAATAAATGGATGCCACTAAATAACATACATTCTATTTAGTGCAGACTTTATGCAAACAAAAATTAAGTTTTCACTTTTTCTAAAGGGGTGTCAAATGAATTGAGAGAACAAAACTAACTCAAGGAAGTAACAAGATTGATAAGTAGGTGATATTACAAGTTTAGAGGTACCAATGCAGACATTCCCAAAGCTCTAGAGTTATTATTAGTGTCTAGTTCCTAAAATAGTATGTATATTTTCCCTTTTTAAGGTAAAAGGACGTGTAATTAAAACCAAACTTCTTCTATGATACAATTTAGGAAAAATGAGGCCGCAATTGTTTACAATATTTAGAATATCAACAAAAGAAAAGGAGAATACCTTAATACAACCATCGGAAACCTAAACTTTCAGAAGTAAAATAGCATTTATAAGATATCAATAAATCTCAATGGTTTAGAAGTCTGTTACCTTTGGCTGCAAACACCAGTCGCAATACATTTCACTTTCACATATCCATTTGGATCCATTGAATTAGAAACTATGGCATCTGGTTTTAGAAATGAAGCAGCTTCCCATGACAATGAAGTAACAATATCTACCCAAGTTGCACCATCTTCACCATCAGGAGCAATGCCCACAGATTTAAGAAGTTGACATACGAGGGCCTTGAACTTTCCATTAACAACCTCTTCCATAGCTCTTTGCTTTTCTTCTTTAAACTTATAGCTCCCACTTCCTTCACCTCTAGAAGGAGTACATAAAGAACTTGGCTTTCCCCACTCTGTACCATCACCACACTCATCATCGTCATCATCATTAAAAGCCACACTGCCTTCCATGTCATCCTTCGGATCTTCCGGTTCAGGGGTTTCCCAAATTTCGGCATCTACGTCATCTTCAAAGGGGTGAGAATTTTCAACGTCTTCATCATCAGAGCCACTAGCGTTCTCTGTACCAATATCCTTTTCGTCAAGTGCATTACTTGATGGTATAGCCCCGTTAACATCTCTACTAGTGAATCTCCCGTTATCAGTAGGGCTTCCCAGAGGTGCATGCGATGTATCATGTCCATTGACCGAAATTTCAAAACTAAAGTCATGCAACTGCCCACTAGGTCTATAGTTGTGATTATCCTGATAACTGTTTACTACACCTTCTTGATTAGACCTACAAGAAGCAAAAGTGGAAGTCTAGTAAATCATCACAAGTACCAGTGAGGAGACCCAAAAGGACCAGAGTTCAAAAAAGGTGAAGGCATATACCTATCATACATGTTCATATCAACAGAAAGTTCACCTTTAAAGAGCAAAACATATAAGTATTAGTAAATAAAAAATTAGATGTTGATCGAATTCGATCAAACTAACTAAATGTCAATAATCGAAATGGGACTTACTGAAGCCAGATGTGGAACGATCGCTGCTGGACAAAGAAGTTGTTGGACATATTATTGGTGTTGCATAAGGACTCTGCATACCATTACACAGCAAAAATTCTCGCTCATGCTTATCTTCACAACATTTGCAAGACAAAATGGAGTCTTGCTTGCCTAATTTTAAAGAATTCACATTATCCTGTGTTTTCCTTTCTTCCTTAGACTTTGCTAATTCTGCCCCACAATTGTGACACATGCTACACATCTAACCCACCGAAGAAAATTGCGGTGAATTCAATAATGAAAATGGTCTCCAACCTTGATGATCCATGTGTTAAACAAAGAAAAATAGCAGTGAGAACAGAAAGAAAAAAATTACATCAATAATCCAAGCAATAAAATAATTCCTAAAGAGAAGAACATATCATAAAATCATGGAAAATGACCATTGGTTCTTTTCAAAATCTGTTTAAAAATTAAAATTCTGCGGTGCTCGATCTCTTCAACGTTACACATATAATATGTACATAGAATAAACATATACATCATTTTTACGCATAGTTATACATAACAAGCATATAAGAGAATCAACTTATCCAAACTATAAGAATTCCACCAATGCTATACGCTCACACACACGCGCACACGGACAGATATATATAACATAGATATATACATACATACATATATATATACGCCTATAAAACCTTAAACATTCAGTATGCTACAAAAACGGAACCCAAAGCTATAGTAAAAATAAAAAATAAAAACAAAGAAACAAAAAAAGAATTGACAAAGTAATCAAATTCTGATTAGTACAACCAAATTCGAGAACCGAAAGAAAAACCATAACTCAAGAGAGAATAATTAAAATATATATATATATACTTAAACCTTTTTTTTTTTTTTTAGAATCTCAATTCTTACAAAATTTACAGATAGAATACAATATCCATTAAGTAATAGACAAAAGATAGAACAACAACAACGGAGGCTTATGATAAATTGAAAATCAAAGAAAATCAGCAAAAAAATGAAAAAGAAAAAAGAAATCCCAGTTGAGAATCCAACCTCAACACAAAGTGATTATCACGAAAAAAAAAAAAAAAAAAAAAAAAAAAAAAAAAAGAAAAACAAAAAAAAAAAAAAAAAAAAAAAAAAAACGAAAGAGCAACGCAACGATTAACAAAACTCAATGCAAAGTTTGAAGAAGAAATGCCATAATTTAAAGCCAAAAAAAAAAAAAAAAAAACGATCTCATTAAATTGGATAGAATCTCCACTACATCCAATCAAATCTCGAGAAAAGATCTTCCCACACTGTGTTCGCGATTTCAAAAAACACGAAAACAAAATATTGCAATTTTGAGCTCTAAACAAAGTCAAGAAAAAAAAGATTAATATAAGTAAAAAAAAAAAAAAAAAGTAATGAAAAAGTAAAGAAATGGATGACTTACTGTCAAAGCAAACGAGAGAACAAAGATTTAGCCGTGACCTCCAAATCAATCCCAAGCATGATTGAACAAAAAGCAAATTAATTTTTTTCTTTTTTCTTTGGAAATTCTTCTTTTTTGTCTCACGAAAACACGGAATTTGGGAACTTCGTGAAGTTCGTTGGCTGTTTTTGATGTTGGTGTGAGGAGTCCACAAAGTCCCAGACAAAGTCACATGAGATTTGGAGGAGCGAGAAACGAGGTAGAGGGAGAAAGAAAGTGTGAAGAATGAACTATGAAGACGAGAAAGAAGAGAGAAGAAATGGGAAGCAGGAAATAAAAGTCATTTTAAGTGGGACCGGCGGTTAATTTCTTTTCTTTTCTTTTTTTTCTTTTTTCTTATTAGGATCTTTTTTTTATTACAAATTTACAAGGATTGATGTCTTTTTTTTTCTTCTTCTGTGACTTGTGTAGTGTAATTACAAGGATACAAATGTCTGAACCATAAAGTATGCGTCTAATGTCTCCTCAGAGAAAATTTAAAAATAATGATAAATAAATAAATACACGTCTAATGTAATTTTGGGCTGCTTATGTTGCAATAAAAGATTTGGAAAAACACTCGATTTTGTAATTACATCCCCGAGATTAATGGTAATGTACTTTTATATTGCAACGGTTTTTAATCCATTGTAAGATATGAAAATATATTGATAAAATATAGTTTTAAGTTTTTAATCATAATATATTAAATGTTAAAAATAATAGTAATTTGATCGAATATGTTGACTCGAGACTCTACTATATTTATACTCGGCAATGGTTTTTGTTCAATTTTTATTGTATTATTAAATGGTATCTGATCTTTTAGACGATCACTATTGATTGGCTAAGAGAAAGATAGGGAGAGATTGAAGGTTCTTAGACAGCAGAGGTTGATTGAAGCTTTCCGGCACCGTTTTTGGGCACGTCGTCGGACTCCCGATCGTGAAATCTGGTCCTCTAACCCGTCTTGTCATAGGCTTCTCATTGGTGGTGTACGGTATGGTGGTTCCGTTTGTACATATCTGAACTGGTTAAGAGCTTGAAAGCTGAATAGACGATCTCTTTTCTTAGGAGAGTTTTCCGCTTGGTGGCTGAGATTTCTTTGCTGGCTGTCTACCTTGATGGTCCGTTGGCCGGACACCCTTCATCGGAGGCTTCTACCCGGCGGCGGTCGAAGGTTTTTTTCTTTTTGTAACTTTTGTGTTTATAATAAGGTTGGTGGTTTCTCCACTCGACCCTCATATGGTTTGTTGTTTTTTGTTAGCTTTAAGTGTTTGGCTTAATGCCGATATGGTGGTATTGGTCTGATTAGAATTTTTTCTATGTCGTGTAGATGTACCCTTTTTATGAGTTTTGATGATCTGCTCATTTAGTGCTTGATAGCTTATGTTGAAGAGATGGGTTTTCTCCAGTCAAGCTTTCAATCCGCTCGTTGTTAGTGTGCAGAAGTGCTTTCCCGGTTTCAGGCCTCAGGCTTGCATTTGTCCCTCTGATGGGTTAATATTGTTCAAAGACGACTATTTATTAGTATTCTAATGAAATGCAATTTTTCCTATAAAAAATAGTATCTGAATAGTCATATTTTTTCATATTATTTAAGAGATTCAAACATTAAAACATGAAAAACTAAGTTAAAACAGTGGAACCTATCCTATTTTATTGTCCTAAATGATATCTAACTAATTACTTTTGTCAAGCCTTTTAATGAATTCAAACATTAAAATAAGAAAATACGAGTTAAATTTTTTTTTAATGATGTGGCATGATCTAATTATTTTTTTTATAATTAATGATGTGTCATTATTTAATTAATTAGACACTATTTTAGACATTTCAATTATATGTCTAATATTTATTGTTTCAAACGATGTCTAATCAATTAAATTATGTCTCATCATGCAGTAAACTCAAACATTACAACACAAAAAAAAAAAAAAAAAACATTTCAAAATATTTAAAACATGATATTAAGGACATTAAAATTGGACAAAGTGATTTTGGTTCTAAAATTAAATACAAGGTGATTTGAGTCGGTCTAGAATTACCTTCGTGTTATTATTACGATTTTATATTTAAATTGCCAACTAATCTTTGTAGAGGATTTATTAAGGGCATGTCTTTGTCTTCTTTACGATGAACGATACATGCTTACATTTGATAAGAAGATTATATGGATTTATAAATTGCATAGACTTTTTCAATTCCATTGTAATGCCAGGAACGAAATTTCTGTGTCTGAACCTAAAAATTTAATACATCGGTTTAAAAGGTGAAAGATTATCAATATTATGAACTTTTTTTTTTTTTTGGGAGAAATGTACTAGAAATCTTAGCTGTATAATTATTGATAAGCTTTAGGTGATCAATAGCAAAGATTAACATAACTATGTGCCTATTTCGCACTGCTCCATCTGTAAGTTTAGTATTGAAAAAGAACAAACAAAGACGTGCAAGTTTCTAAATCGTTGTCAGTCAAAAGAAAAATCTAAAATAGTAGTGAGTTCTAATTTTATTTGCAATCCTAGATTAGGAAAAAAATAATAATTTCATTAGGTGATCATAGTTTAGACTTTATATGATGAGTACTAGTGATATTTGTGTTCATTGAACTTTCTCCTTTCAAGAGTAAGTTTAGTTTCTGATCATTAAATTTAGTTAAAATTATATCAGATTAAAAAAGTATGCAGAACGGATAATTCTTTATATATATATATATATATATTATGGCTGAAAATAAAAAATTATTGATAATTATTTTTTTATCCTATTAGAGAAAATCTCATTTAAATTATCGTAAAAAAAAAGATTTTTTTTTTTGCACTGATCAAAAGAAGATGCTTGGCTGTTTGAAAAAATATTTACAGAAATGTTTAGTTGGAGGATTCAAACCATGATTTGAATCATGGTTCATGGTTCGTTACAGTGTTTTTTCTCACAAAAAATACACGTAAATCGAAAATAATTCTAATTACATCATTCTAATCCATGAACCAAATGTCTCTAAAAAGTGTCGGTTCTAGCACCCCAAATCTGAAAAACCCAAAAGAAATTAAGCAAGAAAAAGTCAAAAGTCAAAGTACGCAGGGCTTGAAAAATGAATCTTTAATTGAATATCTTAACATTTTTTTTTTCTTGACTGAGGTTTCTACAAGGCTATCCTAAAGCCAGGTCCCCAGGATAAAGGTTCAGTTAAAGGTCAACTAGCATTAAAATCAAGATTTGGTTAAACTATTATTTGGTCCTCATCTACTGATTTGCACAATGGTTACTGACCTCTAAAGATTACTTCATATATTTTCATATAGTCAATTTACTACACAAGAAAAACATCATAATTATTGCTAACAACATCTTTTCCATGGAAACCAATAATATGGGATGCAAATTTCCTTGCATGTTATCCGTTTGAATTTTGATTATACGTACAAATTTGAAATATGTACACTCAACACCATGCATCGTATATACAAAAGAGAAATTAATCATTAATCAGACTTTTTTATTTTTTATTTTTTATTTTTGTTGGTTTGGTTGATTCATGATTGTATCATACACGCGATTTTCTATTTGCAACCAGGGAGAGGCAGCTCTTAGAGTCAATTAATATAAATAAGAAATGTTTTTTAGAATTGACCCTTAAAAGGACAGTAATGAGTAAGAAAGTCAATAATATAAAGGTTACTATCCTTTATTTTTCCTTAAATAAATTAAATGCTACTGATTTTATAAGAATCATTGCTAGTTAAATTAAGAGAAAATTTAGTTTAGTGTGTAGGGCTGTTCATAAACCCGAACAACCTGCAAACCCAACCCACCCCGCCCAAACTCAAGCCAAAAAAAGTAACCCGCAGCATTATTTTTAAATTTTCAGCCCATTATACCTCTGGCCCGAAGTGTTTGGGGCGGATTGCGGGTTGGGCCCATAACAACCCGCAATCCCCAACCCAACCCGCACAACATACCCCCAAGCTTTCGGCCTAAGCCGAACTGCCCAAGTTCTACCTTAGGCTCGCTAACATTAGGGTTCACAATCTCATTCTCGGTCTCCCCTCCCGTGAACCCCCTCTTCTTGCCTCTTCCTTTTCAGTTTTACCTATTCTGCCTCTCCCGTGAGCCCCCTCATAACTCTCTCCTCATTGCTCAGTCCTCTCGGCCACCGTCTTGCTCACTTTCTCCGGTGCTCTCTCGCCGAACTGATAAGGATAGTTGCTATTTCTATTTAATGATAAAGTTTGAATATTATATTGAACTTTAAGTCTTTAATTTTTTGAATGTTGAAACCGACCACCTTTTGGGGCGGGAAAAAAAAGTCCTACCCCGCACCAACCCAACCCACGAACAGCCCTATTAGTGTGCATGTATTCTAGATTTTTATTTTTTACTTTTAATTAATACTATTTAAATTAATATAATTATTTGACTAAAAAGATATTAATTAAAAATAAAAAAGTAAAAATTTATACATGTGATGTGCACTCTAAAAAGTATTTATCTTATTTCTTCAAGTGTAAAAGTAAAAGGTAGTTGTGACATAAAGTAGCCGAGCATTTATAGACTATAATTTTAAAAATGTTGTAAGTTTCAAAAGTCACATTATAGTATTTAGTAAACTGAATGTAAAAGACTATTTTTTGTGTGGGTTTAAATTGATTGAAATAACCATAACAAAAATATAATACTTCTTTTTTGAAAAAAAAAAAAAAGATCTTTACATACATCTATTTTAATTTATAAAAAATGTTATTTTAATCTTGATTTGATTTTAAAATATGTGTAATTTAAACATATAATGTTAAATTAGGAAACTTGTTCCTTACTTTCCCGTTATAAAAAAAACAAAATGGAGTAGTAGTTAATAATTTTTTATGGAAAATAATAATGGATATTTTCTATCAACTTTAAGGGGAAAAAAAACTCAACCACCTCAAAGCTATGGAAGAAACATTAAGCCCCACTTGGCGAAATCAGAAATGACAAACCCACTCAAATTTTTTACTTCTTAAAAATCCTATACGGATAAATATATGTTGTATATATATATGACTATACATGACCCCCATTACAATTATAAAAATTAATCTTGTGGTCTCATTAAATTTTTGTTTCAATTATTAGTCTGTACTAAAATAAATTTCTTGCTCCGTCACCATTGTCGAGGATTCTTAAACGAGAGCGAAATTCTTGTTCTAAAAAACAAAAAACTTAATACGCTTTTTAGAAAGGGCACCAATTTGGTATTGTCACACT